TGGGAGCTGGGTTAGAGGAGAGTCTGGCTGTGCTTCCTCCCCACCGTCACAGTGACACTGTTTCCAGCAGAGGTGGCCGGGCTGAGCTGCTTTTTGCCCAGATACCCTGTGCTGACTCAGCCTCCAGAAGGCTCTTTCAGCCTGGCCCTGGAGAGGCGTGTGCCATGGGATGGAGGAGGGCGAGGGGAGGGTGCCCACGCTCTCTTCCTAAGCGAGCCTTGCTTTGACAGCGTGCTGGGGAGGCCCACGAAGCCCACCTCCAGGAGACTTTGCCGGTCCTAAAAGCTAGTCTGCTGGTGGGTCCTTGGGGATGGCAGTGCCTTTCAACAGGGGGATTTCCTAACCAGGAGCGTGGAGAGCTGGGTGAGCAGTGCTGTCACCCAGCACTGTGGTGCTGTCACCCTGCGCTGCCTGGCCTCAGGCTTTGTGGAGGAGTCTCACCTTCCCCTCCGGGGCAAAAATGGCTGCTCTGCGGTTTCAGAGTGTGGGGATTGATGTGTACCATCAGAAAGGGTCTGAGTTTCTTGGTGGAATTGGATCCTCCCAGCCGTGGGACCTTGCACACAGGCCCCACCCAGGCCGGGAAGAGCTGCAGGTCTCCAGGCGATGCTTGGTTTAGGATTTCTGTGCCAGTGAGCGCTTTCCTCAGGAGGATCATGAAAACAAATGACAGTGATGGGAAGGCACTTTGTGCTGAGACAGGAGAAAGGTCCATAAATAAAATGGTTAGATCACTATTATACATCAGTGCCCGGACAGGAAGGAGTAGCACTTTGCGTTAGGGGTGGGAATTACACTTGGCTGTTGACAGGCCATTTGTCGTCAGGCTGGGAACAGTCAGTGGTTGGGGTCCTTCCTCTGGAGGCCTCCATTAGAGATCTGTCAGCACCAGGGGACAGCACAGTTCCACACAGGGGCTGTGTGGCCAGCTTTTCTGTGCCGTCTCAGAATACGATGGAAAATCTATTCAAGTCTAATTGCTGAATTTACGGAAATTTTCTGCCTACTGAAGTGATCAGGAGCCAGTGGCCACGTGGCCCACCCTTCTTATTAGGATCAAGGTGACCTTGTCTTCTTTTTAGGGTCACGGTGACTTTGTCATGAGGCGCTCATTCCCCTGCTTCTGCTGGACTTGTCTGGGAACAAAGACTGCAGAGCTGTGTCTGTTCCCAGGGTGGGGTGGGGCCCAGGAAGTGCCAGTCACTGGGGACCTGTCATCGGCTGCTCAGGGCAGTGTCTCCGAGAGGAGAAGGGGGAGAACCCAGGCCCTGCTGGATCAGTTCATGGCAGAGGCTGAATCTGGAGAGCCCACCATCTGTAGCGTGTGCGAGCCGTGCCCCGTGACCGCTGCCCTTTGTCTCTGGCCACCAGCTCTGGGCAGGTCGCATTAGTCATGGGCGCAGACACTCGGTGTCTGGCTCATCCGCCAGGCCGAGAGTCTCCAGTAAGCCTCTGGGACCAGCTCCATTTCTCCACCGAATTATCTGCGTTCTCAGCCGGGTCTCCTTGGCCTAATGGTGGTTGCCAGCATCACTCCTGTCCGTCTGCTGGAGAATTCAGTTACAGCAGTGGTGAGGAGGCACGGGCAGCTGCTCTTGTCCTCTGGGAATTCAGTGGTGTCGCTGTCCTGTAGAACTGAATGAGTAATTTGGTCCCCAGATGGACCTGTCTGGCTCTTGTCTGTCCTGATGACTGCAGGACACCCTGCACAGCCAGACCTCTTTGCTGGGGCCTCTGAGGTTGGCCTGGGGTGTGGACAATGGGGAGGAAGGTCACAGGGCTGAAAAACTGCTGATGACAGAGCTCACCGGCCAGTCTCACCCTTTGCAGGATGGCGCCTTCCCAAGCACCCTGGGTTGGTTCGTAGCAAGACTGCCTGCCTGTAACGATGGGAGACTCTGAGGACACGGGACACGCTTTTACTTCTGTAAAGACCGCAGTGGGTTAATGAAACACGGAGGTGTAGGATGCAGGGTCACTGGTTCTCTGTGGCACTTAGAACCTGACTACTTACTTAAATTTGTCACCAGTGAAATTTAATCGCACCATGACTGGGACAGGGTGGCCACTGAGGCCCTCCTAGTCCACTCCCTTCCTCCAGCATTTGTGCCGTGTGTGGACGCATGCATACGCAGGCCGGACGAGACTGTTCTGAGGTTCTAGACTAGTTTGGTCCGTGGCGTTCTCTTTGGGCAAGGGGCGTCTGTGAACTACTGTGGGGCACTGGGACTCGTGGGTCCCGCAATTCACCACTGCCACTGACCTCGGCCTTCCTGGGTGCCGGGCACTGCGCCAGGATGCAGCAGGGACAAGCCTGCAGTGCATGTGAGTTACTGGTAGGGGACACGCACTGAGAGTGGCACCCACAGTTCCCTGGGTCTAGACAGGGCCGTGGAGCGCATAGCTGAGTCTAGGGACTGGAGCTTCAGGAGGAAGTGAGTGAGCTTAGGCTGAGACCTGAAGGATCCTGGGAAAGGCCGGGCCAGAAGGACAGGAAGAGTGCGCTGGGCAGAGAAGGAGCCACTGGAGGCAGAGCAGGTCACCAGGCCTGGAGGAAGCTGCGCGGAGGGGCCTGGGGTCCTAGAAGGGCCAGGGAGGGCAACAGGAGCAGGCACAGTGCCAGGTGAACAGGGGACCTGCGGAAGGGTCATTACTGAGTTGTGTTTTAAAACTCCCTCCATCTGCTGTGTGGAGACAGAAGCGGGAGGAAGAGGACACAGGCCGGTTTCCCTGCTGTGATCCAGGCCAGGGCGGGGAGAGGGGCGGTGGAGAACTGGGGGAGGGGTTGCAGGAACGGACTTGAGAACTAGTGTCAAAGGAGCATCACCACGACCCACCCGCGCCAGGCCCGGCGCCAATGGGTGGGACCCAGGTGACGGACAGGCGGTGCTGGGGTCAGAGTGAGGATAGCGCTCCTGCGGAATTCGTACTCCAGGCCCAGGTGGCTCCACTGTCATCCCAGGCCTGCAGAGTAGGGCTCAGTTCAGACTGTTCCTCACTTCAACGGCAAGCCCTGAAATGGGGGCTTGGCTCTTACCTGAATCCCCAAAACCTGGATTCGAGACTTCAGCCTACTGTGCCTCTCGTGTGGAGTCCCCACAGCCCAAGCCTGGCTGGCCCTAGGGATGGGCGCTGGACTTGCTGAGCTGAGGGACGCCGTGGCATCTCTGGGGAGGTCTGCAGCTCACTGGCTGTCCCTTCTCTGGCACTGAGGCTGCTGGGCTGTAGGACCTATGCTTTGCGAGGGACAGGCGGGGTCTGGGCCTGCTCCATCCGGGGTACACACCGCTCCTCATGCCACTCCCCTCCTTGTCCTGGCCTTTGTGACTGTCAGTGCCTCCTGTCACAGCCACAAGCTCAGCACACAGTGTTGGGGTCTCAGGAACTGTGCAGGCCACCTACGAATTAACTCCTGGCCCAGTGGCTCTGTCCGGAGGAGTCTGTGTGGCAGCAGAGATGATTTCAGGTCAGAAGCCTCAATCTTGCTCCCAGTGAAAGGCTACCCACAGCTCTGCTGAGCAACGCCATTTCTGGGGAACAACTCAGTGTCCTCTGAGAGAGGTCCAGGCTGGGAATGGACCCCTGAGTTATTTAACCAGCCACCCGTTGGATGCCAAGCTGGTCTCTGCTTCTCCAAGGTATGCTGTCCTGTGGTGACCCACCTCCTAGCTTCTTTTCACACAGAAGTGATGGTTTTGGAAGATTCCAGAAGTAGAATGCTAACTTCAGAGAGCTGAGCCTTTCTCAGGCCTTGCCCAGTGCTTCCTCTGATGGGGTAGCCCCGTTAATGCTCCCCAGAAAAGAGCGGTCTGTTTGCTGTCATCTCTCCTTTCTCTTGTCATTTCCTCCCAATTCACATGTCCCCGTTTTTTATAATCCTAGTCCAAGGGGGTGTGTCATTGTCTCCTCGAGCCTGGTCCGTTGGTCCTTATTTCCTTCCCTGTGTTTTCAGTTTGTCTGCAGGGGGAGCAGGCCACCTTCCATTGCAGCTGCGAGCCACTTTAGAGAGTGATCCGTGTCAATTATGCCACTGGTCTCACAAATAATAAAGAGCCATCGGTGTCGTCTGAAGTGGTGGCAGTCTGGGTGTGCTATCATCTCCAAAGCCACATTCTGGGCAGATGTGACAGGCAGTGACCCCCAGGCCATCCTCAAATGTTTTGTACCCCGGAAGCCTTTGAGATGCACCTTCTTGGGGGGCCCTCGGCCTAGGCAGGATGCACTCGCGGGCTCTGTGTGCACAGGAACAATTTGCAAGCACACAGCCCGCCTTTGTCCTGGGCATTTGTCAGTGCTGGGTAAGGCCTCTTGAAGACTCTGGTGGCTTTTCCACACAGCTGGATTCACTTATGCACATTTCTTGAGTTACACTGACAGTGCTGAGTGAGTGGCAGATAGCTAAAGCCTGGGGTCAGGGGTTGGGGACAGACTCCGAATCCTATAGCCACCACACGGGCCCCTGAGATGCTCCCAAGACAGACTCGGGCTCTTGTCAGCTCTGCAGACCGCAGGGGCTCCCCTCCAGAACCCTGCCCACCTCTTCCCCCTGCATCCTGCCTTGCATGATTCTAGAGGCTTCCCAGGGGGCCTGCTCTGCCCAGTCCCCGTCCCTGCACCAGGGTCAGGGAGTCTCACAGTGCTTCGGGCCAGTCACCACTGAGGTCAGGCATCGTGTGGAGAAGGTAGGACTTGGAATTGGGGGCCCCAGGTTTGAATCCCTGCGCACCCCTTGGCTGTGTGATCTCCAAGCACACAGTTCGTCCACCTCCAGATCCTGTTCCTCTCCAGTAACGAGAAGCGACCTGGAACCCTATACTGGGCAAAACTCAAACGTGCTAGGCCTGACGTGGTGCACACGCCACCTGGCCACAGGTGCTGCGTGAGTGGAGGCGGAAGGGCCTGCACCGGGGGCTGACTGCCACGATTAGAATGGAGCCCTGGAGCCACAGGGCCATGAAACCTTTGTCTGGGACGGTGACCAGCATCTGTGTCTCCTGCAGGTCACCTGGATGTCAGCATGGCCACCACGAACCTGGAGAACCAGTTGCACAGCGCGCAGAAGAACCTGCTGTTCCTGCAGCGAGAGCACGCCAGCACGCTCAAGGGGCTGCACGCCGAGATCCGGCGGCTGCAGCAGCACTGCACAGGTGCGTCTGACCTGCTGAACGTCCTCACCACCTGGGGCCCTCCTGACATGTCCCCATCCTCCCTGCAGAGCCCAGAGTCCAAGCGGCAGGCCGCAGAACCTTTTCTGGAACACTGCGAACTTGGACGACTTGGCATAGCGCCCAACCAGCTGTTTGATTTGGAGCTGAGAGCCAAATGCAGCTGCGTGATACACGGAAGAAGATGCTCACTAATTTTCTGTCACCTGGATGTGTTGGGGGATGGGAAGGGGCTCCCAGGAAAGGGGTGTCACCCATGACCCCCGTGTTTGTGCGGCTCTCATGGTGGCCCTAAAGCTGCCAGCCCTGCTCACTCTGGGTGGACGCGCTGGGGATCGTGGGAGGTGCTGCGTGTTTTGCTCTGATGAAGGTTTTGGGATAAGCCCTGACCATGTTTACGTGTGAAATTCCCTTTCAGATTTAACCTATGAGCTGACACTCAAAAGTTCCGAACAGACAGGTAAGGACTCCCGAGAGCTGACGACCTACAGCACGTCCTTTGTGATGACTCATTTCTGGTCACGTGCTGTGGAGAGCTCCCCAAGAAATGACGAGAAGGATGTTTGGACCCTTTAGTTACCCACGGGCTGGGGTTGGAACTCGTGATTTTATTTCCTTTTCATTGACATAAATGAAAGTCACTTTTTTGGATTTCCTGACTTTCCTAGAATGAATATGAATTCCTTCTGTAATCAGGAAACAAACCTGGATGTGATTTAACACAGAAAGATGTGGGGGGCGCTGTAAGAATGGCGCCATCTCCCGTGTGTCCCCAGAGCCCGGCACAGGCCTGCACAGAGCAAGGGCTGTTGGTACTGGTGGGGAAGTGAGTCCGTTGCTGTGTCGCCTCAAAGGATGGTTGACCAGTTGTCTCTGGACTGCAGTCCCAGAAACGCCTCTCCAAGCAGAATCCCAATGGCAGCCAGAGAAGAAGAGGCAGAGAGAGGCCTTCCGCCTATGGCAATGGCCGGCTCCCAGCGCAGAGTGGCTCGGAGTGCGAGTCTGTGTTTCAGGCAGATGCCTTTCCCTAACTAGGGGCTTGGAGAGGGCAGCTAGTGGCCGTGAGTCCAGTCCTTATAGAAGCTGCACACGGCTCCTCTGAGCCTTAGTCTCACTGAGCCATTCATGTGACTTGTGTCGCCCTCTCCCTGGCCCTCTCATGGCTTCCTCTGTGTGGCGTAAGCGCCATCAGGCTGTGTGTAAGTTAGGAGGTGTGGATTCACAGCTCTGAGGACTTTGGCATGGTCTGAAACATCTCAGACCCTGTGTCTTCATCCACGGGTGCCCCACAAGTGGTCGTTTCAGGGCCCTAACAGGACATGAGCACTGCAGGGAGTCTGTTCTCGAATGTTCCAGTGGCCCTCAGCAGCACTGCCTGGGAGATGAATCCCAGGATGCCGGCATCTGGCTGAGGATAGGTCAAAGGCCTGAGGTTACAGATCTGCCTGGGAAGGAGGCTGAGGGGGAGGCCCAGGTGGAATTCAGGTGGTCACCTGCAGGCCTGTTGGGGAAGAAGACGGGCACCAGTCTGACGACTGCGCTGAGTCAGCATTTTGGGTAGGAGGGCCTCAGCTGTAGCCAGGGTCCTGAGTCTCACAAGTGGCTTTGGAGCCACGTGTCTCCAAGAGTACGTTTCAGAACCCATTGTTGGGCCCCAAAATAACAAAAACAAAAAGCTTCACGGGAGATGGTGTTGCACTGACCCTTTCAAGGGGGGGTTTGAAATACTTGCATTCAGTGCAATGAGTTCGTTAGGACGCAGTGGCCCTCGGCCTGGAGTAGCTCCAAGTCAGCTGGCAGGACACATGGCAGAAGATGCTGGCTCGGGGCTGCCAGGACAGACAGACAGACAGACTGGGTTCTGGGGGCAGGGGTGATCGCCCTGAGGTTTGGGGTTAGGTCGACTGTGGCTCTCACAACAGACAGGCCAGGAGGCAGCAGAGTGCAGGCAGGGGTGTCCTAGGGCTCAGGCGGACAGAGGAGCTTGCAGGCAGTCTGGCAGTTTGGAGTTTGCTAGGCAAACTCCATTTTGGGAGCCATTTTGGATGGGGGAGAAAACGGGAATAAGATCCCCAAACAAGGGCTGAGGAGGTCAGGACGGTGGGAACCAGTGGGAAGCAGGAGCAGGAGGGGTCAGAGAGGAGATGTCCACTGGCCGGCAGGCCACGGAGGGTGTGAAATTTCTGCATGTGGGCAGGTTGAGGGCAGGAGAACAGAGACGTGGGCTTGAAGGATGTCTGGTGGCCCATCACGTGTGACTCAGGCTGACACTTAGGGTAAGTTCCATGGCTGCAAGAAATGACTAGAGAGAAGTGGACAGCTCACTGACGTCCTGTGTCAGGCAAGGAGAGTGGCCAGCCAGGTGGCGTGAGGGGTGTCAACCTGGTGTGACTGTCAGCCTGTGTGAGGCAGAGGTCAGGGTTATAGGCTGCGGTCACTGGCAGAGTGTGAGACCAAGTTGACCTTTGGTATAGGACAGGGTAGGACAGCCCACCGTGGGCCACAGAACTGGGTGTGGCCTATGGTGCAGGGCAGGTTAGGAGTTACCTCCCTGTCTGAGCAGGAGACAAGACAGACCGGTGGCAGAGGAGAGGTGGCATCTGACACACCTCCTCTATGTCAGAGTTCACTGCTTTACACACGCAGAATCCTCTTGACACTTTGAACGGACAAACACTGGATAAACGCCACCTTACAGGCAGGTGGCCCAGCTCACATGTGATCTTAGCAGTTCTGCAGCCTTTGAAGACTTGGAGACATTCTTTTACACAGTGAGCTGGGGACCAAGAGCCAGGAGGGTCTCAGAGACCCCCGATGGCCTCCCTTTAGTGAGGATGGGGCCACACCAAGCCCGAGTGCCCTGGCCTCCAGGTTCTCACCTGCCCCGGCGTGTTCTCTCTCCAGGCGACGGTTCCAGGGGCAGCGAGCTGAAGAGGCGCTGCGAGGAGCTGCAGGCCCAGCTGAGGGCCAAGCAGGAGGAGAACGAGGAGCTGCTGAGGGAGCTGGAGCAGAAGAACGCCATGATCGCTGTGCTGGAGAACACGGTGCGGGAGCGGGAGAAGAGGTACCTGGAGGAGCTGAAGGTGAAGAGTCACAAGCTGAGCCTGCTGTCGGCCGAGCTGGAGCAGCGGGCCAGCACGGTCGCCTACCTGACCTCGCAGCTGCACGCCGCCAAGAAGAAGCTGGCGAGCTCCAGCGGCACCTCGGACGCCAGCCCGGCCGGCAGCCCCGCGCTGGCCAGCTACAAGCCGGCGCCCCCCAAGGACAAGCTGCCGGACACGCCCCGCCGCCGCATGAAGAAGAGCCTGTCGGCCCCGCTGCAGCCCGAGTTCGAGGAGGTCTACAGGTTCGGCGCCGAGAGCCGCAAGCTCCACCTGCGCGAGCCGGTGGACGCCATGCCCGACCCCACCCCGTTCCTGCTGGCCCGGGAGTCGGCCGAGGTCCAGCTGCGGGAGCGGCCACTTGTCATCCCGCCCATCGCCTCGGACCGCGGTGCCAGCGGCCAGCACAGCCCGGCCCGCGAGAAGCCGCACAAGGCCCACGTCGGGGTGGCTCACCGCATCCACCACGCCAGCCCGCCGCAGGCCCAGCCCGAGGTGGAGACGCTGGCCGTGGACCAGGTGAACGGAGGGAAGGTCGTGCGGAAGCACTCAGGGACAGACAGAACTGTGTGAGCTGCGGGCGCAGCGCGGCCGTCCATGCACTGTGAGCGCCAGAGGGAACCTCGCCCACGCCCCCTCTCCCGTGCATGCCAAATTCTTTTCCACCTGTCACGGCTCTCCTGCCCTCCTGCCCCCGACTGACACCAAATAGGATCGTGTCCCCAGCGCTGTGGCCTCCGCGCCCGACCGCTTGCTTCTGATCCCACCCCACGCCAGCCAAGCGCACTTGTGGGCCAGGCTCAGGCCACCGGCTGCATCCCTGCGCAGCGACATCCACGAGATCAGCAAGTCAGCCTCAAGCGCAACATGGGAGCAACACGTCTCACCCGACCCCACCCCGTGTCCAGGGCAGCCCATGCGGGGCAGCCCCGCTCCCTCCTGGAGACCCCACCCCAAGACCTTCCCAGGGCGGCAGCGACCACCGAGCAGCCGTGTATAATCACCACGAGCTAAAGGAGATGACGGTACTCCTCACGCACCACAACCTCCACGCGTGTTCATACGCTTTCCTTAGTTTTATCGAAAATGTTCAAGAGCCCAACAAACTTTATTTTCTAAACCCCTTCCTTCTGGTTTGTGTCTTTTATTTATTAAACCACCCGAGGGAGGCTGGCGGCGGGGAGGTGGGGGGTGGGATGGGTAGTGGCAGACCCCGGCCTTCACGGTCTCGCTGCCCAGGGCTGTCCCTAGAACGTTCCATGCACCTGAGGTGGTGGCAGAAGCTCAGGCCTTCTGTCCTGCCAGTGCTCAGTGCTGCCCTCCCGTGGGTACCACCCATCCTCACCCCCAGCCGGCTAGGCAAGCCTGTGTTTAGGAGGAGGGGACGCCCAGTGGTGCCTGTCTGCAGGTGCTGGGTGTGACCTGACCCACACAGGCCACGGCGGGTAGGCGAGGAGCTCAGGCTGGAATTAAACACTGAGGTCAGCAGCTTAGCCCCCAGACCACAGCTGCAGGTGGAGGCAGAGGAGTGGTCACCTAGTGCCAGGCTTGGTCAGTCCAGCCTGCCACCCGCTTAGATGGAGGCTCGCCCGACCCACCCCACCCTGGCAGCCTTGATTGGCTTCCCAGCAGGGGGCACCTGCAGGAACAGACCCAGAAGGTCAAAGGCTCTCAGGCACGGTGCTCCCTGGTGCCAGTGGCACACCAGCAGAAGCCAGCAGTTCTGAGAAGGGAAAGAAAACACAACACATCTTAAAATACTCTCTAATTTTACTCTGAACACAGAATCCTCTAAAATGTGGTTTAAAAAGCAAAGCCACCTGAGTTAATTTAATAGAGATTTAAGTGACTGATTTCGAACAGAAGGAAGGTCAGTGCCAACTCCCTGCACCACCCCCAGCCTCTAGAGAGACTCCAAGTAATGACAGACAGAGACCCCACAATTAGTCACGAAGCAGCAGCACGTCTGCTGCCAGCCATGGGTGTGACACCGTCATCACGAGGTCCTCCCCGTCCCAGGGTTAGTCAGAGTTGAGGGTGAGGCACACCCCTTGTAGCACCCAGTGAGAAATATGCTTCACAGTAAAGAGATCCGCTTCAAAAACCAAGCCGACCCCCATGGCGTTCCTCCTCATGGAAGTGGTGTAGACAGGTGTCCGGAAGGTATTCTGCAAGGGAGAGCAGGTGAAGCCTACGAGGACAGAGCTCATGACGGGAGGGGTGGGGCCTGACCTAAGTCCTGGCGGGCAGTGGCTCTCATGCTAGACCACACATGGCCTAGACTTGACATTGCTGTCCTCAGCCAACCTAAGGGATACAGAGATCTCTCAAAGGTGCCCAAGACCAAGGAGAGGGCACCTCTGTCCACACCCTATGTAAGCACTTTGTAATTCAAGCAGTGGCCACTGAATCTCACAAGAAGGGAGAGGGTTTCCCCTTCGTCTAGGCCACAGGATCTAAACTTGAACCTGATACCTGTGGGTGATGGATGCCCACACACACCTGTGCATCTAGGCATTTGTCCAGGAAGGGGCTCCATGGCCTCTGTCTCCAAGGTCCCCGGCCCACCGGTTAAGCACCCCACTTTAAGCAGCACAAGCACGGAAAGCACTGTCTCCCCTTCAGTGCCAGGGAGCAGGGAGGTGGCTGTCACCTGCAGCTTCAGGCGGTGGGCTTCTATGGGGATGACCTTCAGGATGGGCAGATCCACAACCAGCACCTTGGGCTTGCTCTTGATGAGACAGCCTTTCTCTAGGTCCCAGTCAGCGCCTTCCAGGTACAGCCCCGAGACAAAGCACCCTGGGGATGGCAGAAAAAGAGGCCGGATGTACCAGAGGTCCCTACTGTCCTGCATGTCCTCCAGCAGGTGTGCACACAGCACAACACCAGGATCACTGCCAGCCCCACACACCTGGGCCTCAGCCGGGCCTTTCCCTGCTTCCCTTTTTATAGGAACAGCCAGACGGGGACACCAGGCCCTGCTGGAGCAAGTACAAGTGGGTCCCCCCCAGGAGTCTGGGATCAGGCCCCAAAGATGAGTGGCAACAGTCAGAGGTTGAGGGTGCACACAGCGGCCCCCATGCCTCCAATCCAAAGGGGCTGGAGAACAGGAAGTGGGAGCCCCTCAGAGAACGTAGCCTCTGGGGAGGAAGCCGGGGAGGAAGCCCTGCAGGCATGCAGAGAGACACAGGCGAGGACAATGACTGCCCCACAGCGTGGCAGCCGGACACTTGCCAATGAGACCTAGCTGGCTGCTTCTTTGAGCCTTGCCCATAAGTCCCCTCTCCTTTCGTGGCACAGAGGGCCTCTGAGCCTAGCGTTAAGTGGCCTCTGACGAAGGCAACATAGCCCCAGGGACAGTTTCCACTTGCATTTGCATAGTCAGTAAGCAAAGCCTGAGGGACTCAATCATCACGTAACTTAGTGACTCCAGCCAAGCTAGTCCACATGTGCTCTGGGTCCCTTGAGGTTGACAGAGAAGCCACAGGGCGACCCACTCTTTACAAGAGCTAGTTCTGCTAATTCTGACCCAAAAACCCACTTCCCACAACCAGCTCAAGTCTGTAGGAACAAGTCCCCTCAACCACAGCTCAAGTCCCCTCCAGCGCCCCCATTGGCTCCGGGTCTCCAGATAAGAGAGGCCTCCATGATGCCCAAGCATGGGGGGTGCACAAACTCAGACTTGTTCTGGGCCACTCCACACTTGTCCCTTTGATTTGGGCTGTGGAGGAGAAACCCCAGAGCAAGGCTGAGCACCCATGCCACGCTGGCTCTACCTTGTCCAGCCCGCTCGTTCACTTCATCCGCGTCCTGGAACTTGGTCACTTGTGTGAACAAGGTGGACCGGTCCAGCGGCCAGCCATTCTTCCGGCAGGTGGCCTGCACCAGGGCTGTGAGGTAGGCTTCTGGGATGTGTAGCCCTGACAGCCACATCACGCTGGGCTCGCTCTCGGTGACCTGGAGAGAAGGCAGGGCAGTGGCGGGAGCCAGGGGGCCCCCATCAGATGCCAGGGTCAAAGCTGGCTGTGGAAGATCAGCTCATGATAAAAGATACATTTCACCTTGGGGTGGGGGGACAAAGGCACAATGGGAGCCCGCCAGGTCCCGGATGGAGCATTATTTTCTACCAAATGTCATAAGTGTCACAAGACTCAGGAGAGGCTGAGTGAACCATGTGCTGCACTGGCAGACAAGGGCAAGTTTCTCTGATCAAGAGCTCTTAAATATCAACGAACAAGATGGAGTGAGTCCCGTAAACAAAATTCGAAGCGCAAAAAGACAATTCACAGAAAGCACAAGTGTCTACCAGCAAATAACACGCAGCTCATCTTAAAGAACTGTAAAGCAAAATATCAGGGAGACAAAGGCCCAAAAAACGAAGAATGCACAGTGTGCAGAGTTGGGCAATGTGGCCCCTAGCGAATACTGTGCTTTCAACTTTTCTAGAAAACTCTGTTGAGGGCTGGTGGAGTGGCTCAAGTGGTAGAACACCTGTGTAGCAAGTGTGAAGCCCTGAGTTCAAACCCCAGCATGGGAAGGAAAAAACAAGAAGGAAGGGAGGGAGGAACAGACAGGAGGGGAGGGGGGGAGAGAGGGAGGAGTGAAGGAGGGAGGGAGGGAGGGAAAGAAAGAAAACCTGCTGAGCCCCTGAAAGCTTAAAGTGCACACACTGTCATCCAAGTCTTCCACCACCAGAACTTGCCATGGAATAAGCTCGTGTATTCCTATGAATTCATAGAATGTTGCTTGTGCTAACAAAATACATGTAGTCACCACCTAAGTGTCCATGGGTGGAAAAGGGTAGGGAGCATTTGTTAAATGGAGTACACCATAAAGAATGAGCCAGGCCAGGCACCAGTGGCTCACGCCTGTGATCCTCGCTACTTGGGAGGCAGAGATCAGGACTATCTCAGTTCGAAGCCAGCACGGGCAAACAGTTCATGAAACCCCATCTCCAAAATAACCAGAGCAAAATGAACTGGAGATGTGACTCAAGTGGTAGAGCACCAGTTTTGCAAGCGGGAAATCCTGAATTCAAACCCCAGTCCCTCCAAAAAAAAAAAAAAAAAGTCAGAATTATAACGCACTAGTGATGTGGAAACATTACCAAGACACACTCGTGGACACGGCGTACACAGTGCGCAGTGCGTTCAGAGTCACACAGCAAAAGGATACAGATATGCTTGTGGATCTGAGGACGTTTCTAGATCCCCTGTGGACTTTCACAGCGGTGGCTACTGGGGCACGGGGAGTGACTCGAGGGAGTCCAGGAGAGCCTCGCACCCAGGACCGGGGCTGCCCAGCACTCACCCACTGCATGTACTGGCTGAAGCGCCGCAGGAAGTAGAGGATCCAGTTGCCCAGGGTCTTCAGGGTGTCGGGGGCAAGCTTCCTCCAGATGTTGGGGATGCTCCCGTGGAAGAGGGACCTGGCCACATCGTCTAACTCGCTGCTCATTCCGACTTCCCCAGCCAAGGCCTGTGGGCAGAGTCAGGCAAGCAGGCTCGGCCGCAGACCCCCGGGGCTCCCCCTCCAGCCGCACCCCGCAGGTGGTGCACGGCCGCGCTCACCCTCTGCAGCTCGGCCAAGGACTTGCTCATGCGCACCACCAGCTTGTTGAAGCGCCCCAGCTCCTGCAGGAGCACCACCGAGGTGGGAGAGATGCTGTGGCCCAGGTGCTTCCGGACCTGGTCCAGGTCGAAGACCTTGGGCATCTTGTTTTCTATGTCCTTGGCCACCTGGCCGATGTAATCGTCACGGCTGACGCCACTGCTGGACTCGCCTGAAATGAGAAAGCATGGTGTCGGGCTGGAGAACAGGCCTCTGTGCCGCAGTTCTCGGGAAGGCATCGGTGATGTGGGAAAGTCACCAGTGCCGACCAGCAGCGCCTGAGCGACCCCCTGGGGCCCTGACCGGGGTGGCGACCCCTGAGGACACTTACCTGTCTGTGGCTGCAGCTCCAGCAGGTGGGACCACATGTCTCGGGCCGCCTGTGTGTAGTAACCAATCTCGGCGTTGGAGTGAAGGCCGAACACCTCCGGCGTGTTGGCGAGCGGAAGGGCCTCGATGGCTTCTAGAGCCCCAGAAAACAGAGAGGCCGCACTGCCCAGCTGCCCTCCTCCCCCGAGGAACCCCCAAAAGGCAAAGACCAATTTCCACTGCAGACTGGGTGACATTTTTAAACAAAAGTCCTATCCTGCCACACCCAAGCTAACTGTGGGTTTATCTTCTATGAAAATGGCTCAGTGAGCTCCCCTGGGGCCATTGCCCTTCCAGGTGGCATCTGATATACTGACCCTCATTCTAGGCTGGAACACCTGAGTTAACCAGAAGCGCTGAGGCTGGCAGAGCCCACTGGGCCCCTCACCTGGCCAGCCAAAGGAGCGTCCCCAAGAGGTCCCCAGACAACCACAGCACACAAACCAGGTGAGATCCCTTACAAAAAGCTTTGAAATTCTTTCTTACGTCTGAGACATCTCACCGACAAATTTTTCCTTTGCGTCACCCGCAGGGATTTTGTAGTCCACATCCTTGTTCTGGAAGAAGTGGAAAGGCTGGAACGTGTCAAAAATGAAGTCTCCCAGGTACTCATCCATGTAGGTGGTCAGGATGCGCCGGTCAAAACTGTCGATGGCACGTCCTCCATACATGACCTGAATCGGGGGATGAGGGGCAGGTGGGCTGGGAACCCAGAGCCCACCATGCACACTGGGGGCTCCCAGACCCCACAGCTTCACCAGGATCCAGACCAACTTGGCCACTGGGGAGACTCCCACCGGCCCGGCCACTGCACGGCTCCAACACGCCCACTCGGTCAGACTTTTGGGTTAATGCACATGTGACAGCTTGTCTACAAAATCATACAGTGTCTTTACTGACTTCCAAAGGAAAGGGCCCAAAGGCAGAAAATAGCCCTCAGAAAGTGTTGGGAGCCAGGATGACATGGGCAAAATCCCCCAAGCATACAACAAGCAAAATCCCTAAAACCAAGGAAGCCAGCAGTCTTAGGAAGTCACTGTCTGGACGGAGTGAGAGCACAGGGGAGTGTTCCCAAGAGCTGAGTGTAGGGCCGTGGTCCCCCAGGCCTGAGGAACAGGGGGAAGTTCCAAGGACAAGCCCAAGGCATGGGGAGACTGGCTGCCCAGACCTCGAGGATGGGCAGGAGCTCCAAGGTCATGAATCCAGCCCAGAGATGCTCCCTGGGAATGGAGCTCATCCCAGCAGGGTTTCGCAGGGACCTGAGCCAGAGCAAGGAGGGTTTTCCCCAGAGCTCGGAGGACATGGCTACAGAAGGCCCCCGAGCCTGCTACCTCTCCAATCAGGTACTTGAGGCTACCCCACGGGATCCGAGGGTCACGCTGCTGGAAGGCCTTCGTTAAGTAGGTGTTCAGAATCTCCACGCACACCTTAAGGAAGAGAACAGGTGACAGTCGCTCACAGCCAGACTTTCTGAACCCCGGGGACGACCCTGCTGTTGGTGAACTTGAACTTGCAGAAGCCAGCCCGCTGCGGGTGCAGTTTCCTCTCGGGAGAGGCACGGCCGCCGGCGCTCACCTGGAAGTCAGACTCGTTGAAGTCGTAGGGCACGTTCCAGCCAATCTTCCCGAACTTCCTCCTCTCCTGCACCACTGCGTGGAAGAAGGCCAGCACGTACACCAGGGGCTTGAAGGCCGTGTGCGGGCACTGCTCCAGCATCTCGTGGGAGATCTTGAAGTACGTAGCCCTCATGTTTAGCTTGAGCCCGTTGGGTGGCTCTGTGACAACCTACAGAGGAGAAGGACGCGGTCCTGACAGGGAGCCGCAGACCCACAAGCATGGCAGGAGGCTCACAAATGTAGCCTTCTTGCCGGGCGTGGTGGTGCACATCTGTAATCCCAGCTGCATGGGAGGCAGAGAGAGGAGGATCACAATCTGAGGCCAACCGAGGTAAAAGTGAGAGACCCTGTCTGAAAAACAACTAGAAGCAAAAAAGGGCTGGGGGCACGGCTCAAGTGGTAGAGGGTTTGAGTTTGTTCTTCCTGCTCCACTGACGTCTGGGGCCATGGCTTGCCAAGTGGCCCCAAGAAGGTCCTTGAAAGTCCCTCCAAAGCCCCGATACTTAGCTGTCGAATGAAAGCAGAGTCTCCCCTCCACCTGCCCAGAGTGGGGGATGACCAAATCTTCCTTAAAGAATTCCCTGGAGACAAACTCGAGGCCACGGACCACTGGCCTCCCGCACATGCCACGCGGGAGTCCTGCGGGCCGGGTGGATCTGTCTCCCCAGACAAAGGGAAGGCAGTGCAGCGGGAGGCAGCCATGTAAGGACCCGTGTGGAAGCGGGGCAGGGAACCTGGAGTTGCACGCTCCCTCTGAAGAGCAGGAGAGACGGGTGGGGAGGGTGTACACGAGGCACCCCGCGCACACCCCAGGGTTTACTTTTGCCCCCACCCCTGGCCGCAGCTGGGGTCTGGGGCTCAGGGCTGTGGGGATGGTGGTGGCTGTCCTGACTCAGACCTTTAAGGATTTCTGCAGGATTCCGATGGGGAAGCCCTTGCTGGGGTCCGTGGTGAGCCACAGGCGGAAGCTGGGGTGGGGCTTGGTAATTTTCTCCAGAGACTTCTCCAGGTCCTTCAGCCACTTGACCAGGAGGTGGCAGTTCTGAAGCATCAGCCACTGCCCACGGGCCACCGCCGTCTCCAGCAGCTGCAGGGCCACCTGCACCCAGGGAGAGGGACAGTGTTGATGTCCCAAAGCGACCCCAACCCCGTGCCCTGCCCACAGACAAGGCACGGCCCTGGGGCTTGTGGGAGAAGCCAACACGACCAGGAGCCCAGGAGCTACGGGGGAAGAAATGTTGGAGACACCGTCCCGATTCTGGTGTCCGCTGGGCCGGTCACTGCCTGAGAGCGAGTGAGCTGTGCCGTCCTCGGCCTCCCTGTCCTGAGAGCTGCAGTCTCTCCCACGCTGTCGGCCCTGCACCCTGCCGTCTCCTGACCAGGGCCTCGAGAGCCCCATGAGTCCCTCCAGGAGGCAGCAATCGGCCTACGCATGGAGAGCGACACAGCGTCCCTTCCCAAGTGCAATGCCGAGGGAAAGCAAGCTTCACCCTCCACCTGGGTTTTGAGATGACTTAAGACTCCCAGGATGGGACACTAGAATCACATCTACTGGTTTTGTGCTTGGAGAGGGCTCTGCCCAGCTGGCTCACCGTCCTGGTCTCACCGTGGGCTCCGGCAGCAGTGTTTATCCCCAGCCACACAGACTCCACGCAGCAAAACCAGGATGGCAGTCCTCTGACCCCAAAGCCCACTTGTGTGGTGACCACATCCACGCATGGGGCTCTTCCTTGGGCTTCTCCCCACGGCTCTGGTCACACAGCAAGAGCTAACAGAGTGTGACACGGAGCAGGGGCAGCTGTAGTCAAGACAGCTTCGGGGCCCGAGGATCACAGGTCGGCCCTGTGAGACCCTGCGCTTGGTCCCTCTCCATCCCGTCCTGGGCCACTCAGGGTCCTTACAGACGCTGTGAGAGGGCTTGAAAACAGCAGAGCCCAGTGGCCACTTGAGCTTGGAAGAGCATAGCTACCACACGGCCACGGTCACCTTCTGAATACTGGCTACTTAGTCATGGGTAGGAAACGCACTCTGCCTGGCTGGGGAATGGCACCCTTAGCATCAACCCCAGGTGGCTGTCACCTAAACACAGTGCTTTGCCCTTCCAACAGCCAATCACCTTCTCTTGACCTTGACCCATGGCGAGGAACTTGAGGTGGTTTCCTCCAAAACCACTTCGCTCGGCCAGCTTCATAAGGTCGCTGGCGGGGTCGGAGCCGGGGCTCAGGATAAACACGATGGGGGAGTTGGGGGTGCTCTGCTCAAAAATGGCTTCAAAGCTGATCATGGGGGGCTGCACATACCTGGTGAAGGGAAGAAGGTGACAGGATGTCCCTGGGGACCAGAGACCACCCATCTGGTCAGCGCCACCCCTCCATCCAGAACCTTCTGACTACCGCTCTCAGTAGCACTCTACACCGGTGGTCACCTCCTGAGTGACAGGGGCCTCTCTGGCCCCCTTCCACAACTGCATCCTGGGTCCCCCAGACTGCTATAGAGCTGGGAGCCTTGACTTGCCTTCCAGGTGGACAGGTCCCCAGGCAGAACCCAGAGACCACACACTCACAGCCCCTGGCCTGTCCTGAACGGTCCACACCTCAAAGAGGGATTTTTTTATTTTGCTTTTTTTTCTTTTTTTAGTTGCTGCTGATAGTTTGAATATACTTTGTCCCCCAAAGGTTCCGGTGCCAGAAGCTTGGGCGCCATGGTGTCAGATCTTTAAGTGGTGTGGCTACTGGAAGATGGTAGGTCACGGAGGCACCACCCTTGGAAGGGACCAGGCTACTTCTCACGTGAATGGGTTGTTATAAAGTGAGACTCCCCACGGACCGGGACCTTCTACACGTGGCTATTTTCCTTTCTGTTTTTGTGCCATGTTCTGATGGAGCTAGGGGACCCTGGCCAGACACCAGTGCCATGCCACGGGTGTCATGAGCCAAATAACCTCCTTTCTTTAGTATTACCCAGACGCAGGTACTTTGTCATAGGAACACAAAACAGACAACAGTTGCCAAAACATAAATATTGAGAGATTTCAGGTAAAAATCTGAATTTCTGGTCCCTTTCAAAGAGTCACAGCATCAAGCTACTCCACTGATACCTGCTATCAGTCACCAGGAGCACAGGCCAGCTGCCCCAGACGACCAGGACTTGACTCTCCAGTTGCCACAGCCACCCCTCCCCCACCTCTTTCCTCTTTATCGATGTCACCAGCCACCGAGGCACATCTGAGTCACAACCACGAGTATCTGCCTGGCTTCACTACCCCATGCGGTGATCACCGAGCCCTCGGGCCGTGGCTGGGCTGTGCAGTAGGAATCACACAGGACTTTGAAGACTGAACACCAAGAAAAGCCTGTAAAGTATCTTAATGCTGTTTATCTTGAATATATGAAATGACAAAATTCTAAGATTGTCAGTTATATAAATATCCTATGAAGTTAAGGCTACGTTAAAATTTTAAATCACCTCGGCATCTACCCTAAGGAACGGAAGTCAGAATACACTGATGCTCATCACAGCACTGTTCACGATAGCCGAGCTCTGGAAACAGCCCAGGTGCCCCACGACTGACGAATGGGTGAAGAAAATGTGGTGCATATACTCAGTGGAGTATTACTCAGCCATGAAGAGTAGTGACATGGGGTTTGAAGGTAAATGGATGCAACTGGAGTGAAGTGAGCCAGGCTCGGGAAGGCAAAGGCCGCCATGTTTTCTCTCATACGTGGAAGATAGATCCAAAGATAAACACATACCCCAAAACAAGCATGATTATACACAAACCCATATGGAGAACATGTGTGTAACAGGGGAACTTCTCTATGGAACTTGGGGAAAGAAGGAAAGGAAAAGAATGATAGAGCATCAGTAATATCGTAAAACAAGACATGAAGGTAGAGGGTATAGGATGTGTATTGAAAGCTGTTGAAAAATGGGGGGTGGGAGGTAAAGGGGTAAAGGAAGGGGTTAAACAAACCAAAGCAAAGACTATCCATAGTGGGCATTCATTGAGAAACCCCTTTGAACATCGACTTAAATATTAATAACGAAAGACAGGACTGTAAAACGGGTACAGTGCATGTATGGGGGGGACTTGTGGAGGGGGAGGGTGAAGGAAGGAGATGAAGGTGAGGGGATATGGTGGGTGGACTTCATATACCTACATGGAATAGAAAAAGAAACCTCTTGCAACTGCTTTAAGGGGGTGGGAGGGGGCCAAGGGAGAGAGACAACGGGGGTGACATAACTAATGTATAAGTCTAATCAGAATTGTCACAATAAGGCCCCCTCTGTATAGTGAGTATATCCTAATAAAAAACAAATAAAGTAAAATTTTAAATTAAAATTTCGCTGTTTCCAGTCAGGGGCTGGTGACTCATGCCTGTAATCCTAGCTACTTGTGGAGGCTGAGATTGGGAGGATTGCAATTCAAGGGCCAGTCTGGGCAAACAGTTCGTGAGACCCCCACCATGTCCAAAATGACAAGAGCAAAATGGACTGGAGGTGTGGCTCAAACAGTCGAGCACCTGCTTTGCAAGTGTGAAGCCTTGAGTTCAAACCCCAGTTCCACATACACACACAAAAAATTTCCATCCTAAAGTGGCTTCTACAAAACTCGGATAACCTGTGTGGCCTCTGTTGTACTTGTGGTGAGTAGGAGGCTGTTCCAGGGCGGCTGTCAAATCCGCCTGACAGACAGGCTACAACTGTCCCTTTGGAAGGTGGCCGGCCACTGCTTCCTGTGACCACAGGTGGGGATAATGTAGATTTTTACCCCACAGAAACAAAGTACACACTCACTTCTCTCCCATGGTTATGGTTACATAGTCGGTCACCGCCCGATAGACCCGGTCCACACGGAAACAGCGCAGAATAAGCAACTTTTGGAAAGGGGTGATGTCCTTATCATACCCCAAGGGGAACGGGAACTGCTCCAGCGAATCCAGGTCATACCACTGCGAAAAGCAAAGGGCATCCACTGTGGCATTGGCTCAGGAATGAGACAGGCCACCGCTGTCATGTAAAGTGCCAAAAACCAATGTCAAGGGACAGGAAGTTAGAGAACTTAAGGCCACTTCTGACTTTGAGCTGCCACCATCCACAACAAAACTAAAGCAACCGACTCTTACTCACTGTGGAGTCCTAGTGCCCATGCAGGGACAGGGTGCCTGGTAGATGTTTGTTAAGTATTTCTTGGATGGCTGGATGGATGGGCGGAGGAATGGATGGACAGACGGACAGGTAGACAGATGGATAGATGGATGCGTGGATGGAAAGTGGGTGGTTGGATGGATGATGAGTGGGAAGATGGATGGGTGATTGATAGATGATGGATAGATAAATGGATAGACGGATGGGTGGATGGTCAGATGGACGGATGGGTGGACAAATGGGTGAATGGATAGATGGATAATTTGTGTCATACAGCCAGCTGACTTGGACAAGGAGAATTCAATCCAGGAGTTAGAAGCACTGATTGCACTGTGAGCGAGTTTCTGCAAGGCACATCTTCTCACTTACAAGGGACAGGCCTCGGTGTCTCTCTGGAGATCTCTGGCATGTCAGGAAGGAGAAGAGGAGAGAAGACCCAAGCTCACCTCCTGCCAGACAGTGGGATGGTCTTCAACATCATCAGGAAGCGTCCCGAAGCTGTCCGAAAACATTTCTGACAGAAGGATGGTGTCTTCCCATCCCTGGTCGGACAGCCATGCGCAGGGCTTCTTCCGCTTGCTCTTCTCCAGGGAGATGTTTCCTGATCACAGGGAAGAGGAGGAGACCCAGGTGTGTGCAGCCAGCGCCAGCCTCGCAGCTCAAGCCTTTGATGTCCCTCCCAAGTCCGCTTCCTGAGGCGGACTTGCCCTTGTCACCGCAGTGACCCCAACCAGGCAGATCCCTTGCAAAGGCGGACTGCCCTAGGTCAAAGCCAAAGCATTTGAGAGGCTGGAATGATGGCGGAGGTGTTAGTGAGGCCGTGCTGCTGGAGGCCAAGTCTTAATTAAGGTTTTGGTTGGCAGTGTTGTTACAATGACACACACAAACCAGCCGGGTCAAGGGAGCTGGGAAAACGAAGGAAGGCAAATCTGTTACCTTTTAAAAAGAAATCTAATTCATCCTGGGGGACTTTCCCCTCCGCCTGTTCTATCTTGATGGTCATATTGAAAGAGAAGAGTAGCTTGTGTCTCTCGAACAGCCCTGCGGACAGCATCACAATAGTGCCAAGGGAAAAATGTTCATTTAACACCAAGCTTCTAGTGTACAGCATGTTCACACGAAGCAGATGAAATGAAACTCCCAAATCACGTACTGCGCATCGCACTCTTCTACTGTGCGTGCCAGTCAAGGGCAAAAGAGCCAAGAGCTCGGCTTGCAGGTCCTGCCCAAGCACAGTCTGCAGAGGTGGCCACCTGTGTGCACCTGCACGGTCACATCCACAGGAGGCTGGTACTGTGCAAGTGGGAAACAGCCACCCTCTCACAAAGTGCTGGGGTTTGCTACAGATGCAGAATGGAGCAGCTGTGACAGAGACCATGCAGCCTTCAAAACCTAAAGCGCTGGCCAGGCACAGTGGATCATGGCTATAATCCATACTACTCAAGAAGAAAAGTTCAGAGAATCACGGTTTGAGGCCATCTGGGAAAAAAGTTTGCAAGACCCCATCTCAATCAATAAAAGCTGGGTGTGGTGGCACACGTCTGTCATCCCAGCTGTACAGGAGGCAGACATAGAAGGGTTGTGGTCCAGGCCAACCCAGGACAAATACCTTGAGACCCTACCTGAAAAATAACTAAAGCAAAAAAGGGCTGGGGGCATGGCTGAAGTGGTAGAGCACCTGCTTAAGCAGGTGTGAGGCCCTGAGTTCAAAACCCCGTACCACCAAAAGAAGCTGAAAGTGCTGACTGCCTGGCCTATTATGGAAGAAGCATGCTGACCTGTTTAAGAACTGCAAGCTGAAATATTCACAGATGGGAAATCAAGGTCGTCTGGGAAGGGCGCGGCAGGGGGGTGAGTTAGCGACCCCACGGCTGACCCCTGCTGCACGAGGCGGGTGGGGATCCTGGCACTACTGTCTCTCAGGTATGTCTGCAATGTGTGAACAAAGAGTTTCTGTGCACATATGGGGATAGTCATTCCCCACACGGGTGAATTCTGATAATGCTACAATGTGAAAGCCCTTGAACTTGCCACGTAAAAACAAAACTAGTCATGAAAAGTCTCAGATGATATGAAACATCCCCAGAAGGTAAATTCTGAGTCAGAAAATAGCTCAGCAGCTACCAGGGTCACGGGGAGGAAGCGGTTGTTGCCAGGTACGGGGTTTGATCCCTGTGCTGACAGAGACGTCCTAGGGTGAGGTGGTGCCGAGGACGGCGTGACGCTGAGCACCCTACAAGCCGCGCCATTGTCCATTGCCAAGGGTGAGTTTTTGGCACTTGAATTATGCTTCCCTGGAGCTGCAACTTCAGACATCAGTGCTTTAAACACTGCTCCTGTAAACTGGAGCCACACTTAAGAATGCCACTTGGAGGGCTGGAGGCAGGGCTCAAGTGGTGGAGCACCCGCCTAGCAAACGCAAAGTCCTGAGTTCAAACCCCAGTGCCACCCAAAACAGAATGCCACTTGGTAGGCGTCCCTGTTCAAGGTCAAGTCTTCTGATAGCCTCCTCGCTGGGCCCCGGGACACCGCGCATCCCCTGCTGGGGGAAGAGGCCGCTCACCTGTGCACCCGTAGTTATAGACGTTGAAAGTCAGCGTATCCATGATGTTCCGAAGGCGTTTCATGAGGACGGAATCAGGCAGTGACTTCTTCAGCGACAGCACGAAGACGTCCAGGAAGGCAGACAGGGAGTACTGGTACATGGAGTTGACCAGGGCCATCTCGGACAGGACGAAGAACAGGATGGCGCCCCTCCTAGCAGCCGGCCGGTACCCGTCCCGCAGTCTGTCGATGTCCAGGGCGGTCTTCTCCGCCAGCTTGAGCTTCTCTGTTACCTGAGGAGAGGTGCCAGTTACACTGGAAGCAGGAGGGCCGATGACACAGCCAGGAAGACCTGGGGTGAGCCGAGGGTACGACAGAGCAACACAACAAAGAGACAGAACACTGCTCCTTCGGGGTCAACAGCAACCAGGGACTGCAGGGGACCAAGGGTGCCGACCCCCTTGTGAAGTATGGTGGCTATTTGTGGCTTAAATCCCCGTTCTAGTAACAGTCAGTGCTTGCACTTGGGGACTCACCCCTCCCTCTCTCATCCGTATTTGGGCTCCACCCTGACTCCAGGAGGAGCACGTGACCCAGGATCAGCCAGGCCCCTGGGACTAGTCTGGGGGCGTGTGACTTAAGTGACTCTCAGAATACTCATGATCAGAACAGGAAAAGATTCTCACTCATCCCCTTGAACTCGAACTTGAGGGGACCAAGGCCAGACCTGTCCTGACGCCAAAGCTGGCAGAGAATGAAGGCCTAGCCCAGAAATGCAGAGAAACCCAAAGTCCACATGGGTTAGAGTCCTGGATCCCACCCTGCCTGACGCCATCCCTGGACTTCTCTGCTTTCCAAGCTGGCAACTCCTTTTTGGCTTAAACTGGATAGGGTTGGGTTTTATATCAGTCGCAATCAGAGTCTGGTTAGCGCCCAGGTAGGGCCCCCCTCCCCTTGCTGCTGAGCCCCTCTGCTGTCCTGCAGCCTGTACCTCCATGGCTTTGGACTTGGTCTCCTCTAGGGTCTGCACCAGCTCCACGTTGTCTAGCATGTTTCCTGTGGAGGTGGCCAGCTCACGGAGCAGGGAGTCCTCCAGGTCCTTCAGCAGGTTCTTGTTCTCGCTCGTCTCCTGGATGAGGTGTTCCCGCTGCTCCTCCAGCTCGCGCCTCTCAAAGGCCACCAGCACACTCAGCAGCTGGTCCTCCAGGCCCTTCAGGGTGACTGTGGGGAAACAGTGATACTCACTGCTTGTGCCCAGTCAACTGCTCGCTGGGCCCCTATCACAGCCACCCCTGGGGCAAACTCAGGACAGACTGGCCAGCAGGGTGGGAGCATGAGAACCAACTTTGAGCCAGACTCTCTATAGTGACCAAGGGAGACCACGCTGCTGTGGAGAGGGGTAGGCACAGAGAGAAGACACTCAGAAGTGGAGCCATGCCTAAGGAACCCCTCTAAGCAGCTATGGGAACGAATAGGAAGGGGGATGGTGACCAGAGGGAGGCCCGGGCACAACCATGAGGCCCTACCTTAGAAATAACTAAAGCAAAAACCAAAAAGGACTGGGGTGTGGTGCAAGTGGTAGAATGCCTGCCTAGCAAGTAGAGGCCCTGATTCAAAATCAGTACTGCCAGATAATAATAAAATACAGAAAATGTGAGCAAAAGCATTTGGCTCCCACAAATACAGAATGACTTCCCATCCCAGTCCATGGACTCACGCCCTCCACGCATGGCACCTGAGCCCCGTGGTCCAGACTGCAGACCTGTGGCCCACTGCCCCACAAAGGCCCCCAAAACCTTCTGGTGCCCCTCAGTCCTGAGAGCCGCCCAGGGAAGATGGGGCTGACGGGGTGATCCAGGGCCCCCAGGGTGAAGTAGCACCCCGTGAATGTGTCAGTCTCCCATCGTGGTCTCCATGGAAACCCCGGGGTGGGTGCCGGCTCTGCCCCCTCACCAGTGTAGTTGATCACCATGGCCTTCCCGAACACCGACGGGGTGTATCTGGGATTGGCCAGCTTGGTGTTGAGGTACAGCCTGAAATTGGAGTCGTAGTCCACCTCCTTGTCCCCCAGGATGATGAACTGCCGTCCCTGGGCGACCTTTATGTTCTTTTCCAAGACGTTGTCAATCACGGGGTCGATGTACTCATCCACGTCGTGGAACAGGAAGGGGGTCCCGTACTTTATGGACATCTCCAGCTGCTTGAGGAAGTCGGGGTCATTAAAGGAGGCCACCTGCAAGAGAGGGGCCCGATGCTGGAGGTCAGCACGGTTAACTGAGCCCTTGTCAAATCCCCAGGGTGGGACTGGCCACATGTCAGCCACGTGGGGAAAGGTGACAAGAAGAATCGAGAGAGAGGCAAGGACCAGAAAAGTAAGGAGAGGGCAAAACTGGAAATCATTTGTCTGTTCACTAGTTTGGCAAAAAGCAATCTGGCCCCAACAATCCCAGTACTAGGCATGTACGCCAGACACCGAAGAACACATCCAGATAGAAGCTGCACACAGACATTCACAGCAGCGGGGTTCATAAAAGCCAAAAGGGGGAGCTGGGAGTGTGGCTCAACTGGTAGAGCAACTGCTTAGTAAACACAAGGCCCTGAGTTCAAACTGTGTATTATCAAAACAAGAAAAAGAAAACAAAAATTAGAAACAGCCCAGAGGTTCATCAATGGATGGGTGGGTAGATAAAATGTGCTGTATGCACACGGTGGATTATTATTCATCCATAAAAAAGAATGAAGCACCGACACCTGCTACAATGTGGATAAACTCTAAAAATACGAAGCCAGACCCCAAAGACCACACACTGTTTGGTCCCCTTCAGGGAAACATTCGGGAAATCCATAGAGACAAGACGTGCATGCGCTATGGTTGCCAGAGATGGGGGTGTGGGGGAACAGATGGAAGGACTTGATGGGAGTGACCACTAAAGGTTACGGCTTTTCTTGGGGATGATAAGAACGTTCTAAAATTGACTGTGGTGACTGTCATACCACTCCATAACTATACCAAAAACCACCTTTAAGTGGATGAACAGCATGGCCTCTCGTCTCAGTCGAGCTGTTACTGCCCCTTCCCCCACCCCCCCCGCCTCCCACCCTGGCTCCAGAAAAACTGTGACTGAGCCTTGTGCTGGGTAAGAGAACAAAAAGCCATGGGGAAAGCAGTGACCTTCACCTTGAGTGAGTCCCATCCTGAGGGCGACACTGTGCATGGGGTGGTGCTCTAGGCTGGCACAGGAGGGGAGGCTCTGTGGGGCCGGTGGGGGTCTTGGGGACAGGCTGCCGTACCCGCAGGTTGTTCTTCTCTTCCTTCCTCTTGATCCAGTTGAGGGCCTGCTGCTGGGGGTCGATGCAGAGCGGGAAGCGGCTGGCGCGGGTGGTGAGGATGCCATTCTGAACTGACAGCTCATCGGGGGGCAGTCCCTGGGAGCCCCACCTGGAGGGACAGACACAGGGAGATTGGGTTTATTCTCCCCAGGTTGTGAACCAAGGGCGACAGGTGATGGGATCAGCCTTCCAGAGCAATGTATGGACGGCCGGGCTGCCTTGGAGTCCTGTGAAGAGATCTGGGTGCTGGGTTTGCTGCTCACTTGCCACGCACCCCAGGCCAGCAGCCCTCCCTCCAGGTCACACCCACAGAAGACTCCACCCTAAGGCTCCTCTGCTGGCTCCAGGCAGCCCACACCTGCTGATCTCCACATCATCTGTGAGTAGGTTTTCTAGGCGGAAAGGCTGGCTCAGGGGGATGTCCCGCTCCAGGATGTCCTCCTGCCAGACTTCATTGATCATCTGGTGGCGGAACTCCCAGGTGAAGGCACCTTCATAGCTCAGGAAGGCTGCACAGAGCAGGCAGTCGCCCAGCAACTTCACCCGCCGGTTCATCAACTCATCCAGGTCGTTCAGCCACCTGTGCAGGAGAGGGAGGCCACTGTGAGCAGCTAACTTCCCGCCCCGATTGAAGCGACCATTCTGTGGACACATGTAACTTGTTCTAGACGATAGTGACCCCAAAGGTAAGTTTCAGGAGACACACGTGCTAACAACTCTGATTTGATCATTACACGTCACCTATACAAATTGAACTGTGGTACTGTAGCCCGTAAATACGTACAAACCTTGTGCTCCAATTCAAAAATAAATAAACAGAGCCGGGGGTGGTGTGAGTGGCTCAAGAGGTAGAGCATGTTCCTGGCAAGTGCAGGGCCCTGAGTTCAAATCCCAGGACCACAAATAAATAAATAATGGGCATCTGCTCAGATGAGGGAGGAAAGAGGTAAGTTCAGACGTGGGTCATAAGTGTCTTAAAAAAAGAAATAAAGCCCAAGAACAGCAGACAGCTGAGTAAAGAGTGAAAAACAGACCTTGATTCTAAAGGCACATTAGAGCAACAAAAGCAGTGTTCTAGAAGAACCAACCCAATATTTTGCTAACAGTGCTAGCCAGAAAGGAGATATATAGATATTTATATTTATATTGAGATATTCCTTCCTTCTAAAAAGATAGAAAGATTACCAGCTTGTTCTTCAATTTCTTAACCTACTGAACCCCAGTGTTCTGAAAGACTCTTCAAATCCAGAGCTTGCCAACCCCCACCACCCCCACCCCCACCAGGGGCGCCGTACATGTTAGCGGGGCTCCTTTGTCTGGCAGCTGCTTATCAAGCAGTAGTCACTTTGTTCACAAACACTTAATCCAAGAGATAAATAACCCCAGCAGAGCAAAGATCTCATGATAGAATTCTATACCCAAGATAGACAAAGGTGGACATTTCGTTGCCTCTTCTGGTGAATGCCTGGTTTTCTAAGTTTTAGAAATACTGGATTTTGTTTCCCTCCAGCAGACAATACTTTCCAGTGTCATTGTTATTTGGTTGCTTGGTTGGTTTTTTGAGGCAGGGTCTCACTACCTAATAGCCTAAGCTGGCCTTGAACTTGCAATCCTCCTGCCTCAGCCTCCTGAGTGCTGGGCTTACAGGCCTGAACTACCATGCCTGACTTTCCAGCATGTTCTGTGCCACATTTGCAGGCACCAGATTAGAAATAACTGCCCTCTCCAGTGATAAGCTACAGCCAAAAGCTTGCCCCTAAGGATTAAAGACCCATTCACTGAAGAATCCCCAGAACCGAAGAAACCACTGGGCCCTGAGCAGTCACACTGTGACAAGAGACAGGCTCCTCCAGATAGGACCTAGAGACTAAGGGTCACCAAGAAGTCAACATTCCCCAAACGCACTGAATCATGGACTGTAGGAGGTCCATGTATTCCCAAAAGATAGCGATTAGCCAGGCGGGGACAAGCCCCTTCTCCTTCCCAAGAGACACCTGTTCACACCAAAATCTTCACCCTCTGCCAATAAAAAAGCTATAAAACCCAGCTTCCAACCTGACTCAGGGAACCACTAGTTTCTGGGTCCCACTGTATGTCCTCCAAGTGGCCTTTCCTTCCTCTTCTCTGCAAATGAAACTTCTCTGACCTTTGCTGCTGCAGTCCACCTTTGATTTCCATCTAAGCACAGAACAAGGACCCTTGCCACCTGAGTGTCCCAAGCATCACTAGGACAACTGCTAGACACCACTGGCTTCTCCATTGTCCTCAGCCCCACTGCCTGCTCTAACACTTAGCAACCACCTAATAAATCACACTTGGTACCCAGTAAGAACAGTATGCAAAATAGCCACCAGTCACCTTGGCCTGGGTCATCATAACTCGTCACGTGGCTTTCAGATAAAAGGACAATGGTGAAGAAAGAACCCATATGGTGGGAAATGCAGCTGAAGGACCCTGCCAAGCCACATGGGCCTCAAGAGACACTGCTTGGCACGGGGGCCTGGAGCTCAGGCTGACCTGACGTTTTCCGACCCCAGGCCCGAGATGAGCTTGTCTGCCGCGATCAGCCGCCTCTCCATCAACTCGGCCTCCTCCTGCAGCTTCTGCTTCTCTAGGATGGCTGCCTCGTATTTTGCCCCCAAGGCTTCCAGTTCCTTCTGGATTGCGGCCAGCTCGTTCTGGATCCTTTCTAGTTCCCGTTTGGTTAGGAAGAAATTCCGCTCCAGCCTGGCCACCTAGGTGGAGACAAGTTTCAGGACAATGGCAAAGGGACCACAGTGGGCGGAGATTAAATGGCCTGGGCTCGTGTCCACACTGCATTTCCCAGTGGTGTTGCTGTTCTCTGGGGCCACCATATACTCTGCTGAGGCAGTTGGATTTTTTTTAGAATTCTCTCTTAGACTGTTGATTGTAAAAGCCCTACATCCCAGGGCCAGTCACGGTAGTGCACACCTGTAATCCCAGCTACTTGGGAGGCAGAGATGGGAGGATCAAAGTTCAAGGCCAGCCAGGAGAAAAGTTAGTGATGCCCCATCTCAATCAATAAGTTGGGTGTGGTGATGAGTGCTTACGATCTCAGCTACGTGGGAGGTGGAGGTAGAAGGAGCACAGTCTCAGGCCAGCCTGGGCAAAAGCACGAGAACCTATTTGAGACACAATCTAAAAGGGGGGGGGCGGGGCACGGCTCCAGTGGATTGTTTGCCCAGTACCACAAATAAAGAAAAAGCCAGGCACACCATTAATGATTCCCGGCACCAAGCGAGCAGCGCACTTACTTTTTATGTGTACCAAGGTCACTAAGTCAGCACAGGGCTTCCAAGTCAAAAACTCAGAAGAACACAAGGGTAATGCTAGTGTCCCTGGTGGTAATAAAACTCTGACTTAGAAAGCAGAATCCAGGGGCTGGTGAGTGGTTCAAGTGGTAGAGCAGCTGCCTACCAAGTGTGAGGCCCTGAGTTCAAACCCAAGTGCCACCAAGAAAAAAAAAAAAAAAAGAAAGCAGAATCCAAATAGGACTCAAAATCCTATTATATCAAACTTACAAGTTTTACATGAATCCAGTTGTTCTCAACTGAGGCTGTCCTTGCCCCACAGGGGACAGTTAGCAATGGCAAGACATTTCTGGATGTCACGGTGTGGGAGCAGAGATCAGAGATGTTGAGACAAACCCTACAGTGCACAGCACTGCCCCTCACAAGGAGGAATGACCCAGCCCTAAACATAACAGGACCGACGCTGAGAGCCTTGCATTAGTCCTAGGGAACAATTTAGAACGCCTTCCATCCTATACTTCTCCCACAAAATTTGGAGCTTTTAGACCTTGGCTCTGTCGCTCCACATAGCCTCTAAGTGAGGCTATGTATCTTGGGGTTACTTTTAGTGGGGAGACATGCTTATACGAGTTCAAGTCAGAATCTGCCTGGGGATATCCAGCACAGCTGTGGCCATGCTGAATGTGACTGCAGAGAGGGCTGTGGACAGGGGTGTCAGCCTCTCAGAGGGCACACCTTGTCTCTTTTGGGCTTGATCTCTCTGAAGACATCGCAGTAGCCCATGACAGCCTCCACGAACTTCAGCATCCCCAGGCCTGCCTTGCTCACGGCCTCCATCTCCTCAATGGTGGTATTGAGAGTCCTCAGGAGGCCTGGAGGTCAAAGGCACCATGATGAGCACGCCTCATCTCGGGAAAAATAAAACTGGAGGTCAATCGCCTAAGCACAAAGGAAATATGGCCAGTTCCTTATTCCTCGGTGACCCTGGAGCAGAATCCAGACACTGCCCAAAGGATGGCAGTGTGGGACAAACAGCAATGGGTTTTGTGGATGTGGATTTGAAGATGTGTGTGAGGAAGTCAGCGACTGCCTAGCAAGCGTGAGATCCTGAGTTCAATCTCAGCTCTGCTGAGTCTGCCCAAGTCTGCTCAAAGGGAATGGGGCGCTCTACACCCAAAGACGCTTAGCTGTGTGTGGGCGATGCCATCCTCCCCATCTGTACTGCAGGGGCCTATGGAGGCCCTTTACTGGTAAGGGGTACAAGGGAAGAAGTCAGGTCAGACGGATGCTTGATGTCACAGTGACAGTGGTGAGATGCAGAGAACAAGGCCGAGCTGAGCCCCGCTAAGATCCTGCTTCCCGACTAAGAGAACTAGAGCTACTGCTGGACCTGTCTCACCTGGCATCAGCTGCCACTGTCCCCACCTTGGACAAGCCCCACCTAGCCCCATCTCTGGCTCACAGGCTGAGGTTCAGCTGTGGTCCCCAGCTCCATCCACTCACCTTTGATGTTCTTCACTTGGCTCTGGGAGATGGAGTCAAAGTCGATCTCCATCAGAGACCGCAGGAAGTTTGGGTCAGACATCATGCCCTTGGCCGTCTTCCAGTTGATCTCTTTGTAACCCTTCATGATGAGGATGCACTCGCAGACCGTCTGCACCTGCTTCGGGGGCTTCGCGAACGACCTGGCGAGAAACAAGAACCCACGTGGCTCAGACCCCAACCAGAGCCAGGAGCTAGCCCAGCGCTGACCCCAGAAAAGGCAGGGCAACAGGAAGCAAACAGAGGACACTGAGTCTGACACAAACATGGCTCCTGGGTGGACGCTCCCTGGAGCTGGGGTCCAGACCAGGCTCCCAGAACCGAACCAGCTGGGCGTCAGAATCTGAGGGAAGGGGTCATTAAAACACCAACCCAGGCTGCTCCGGGCATCTGAATCCCAGGTCAAGGTGGGGCCTGAGAACCTGCCTTTTAATTACACCCTGGGTGATTCCTCAGACTCTGAATGGTGGCTGCCGTCATTACTGTCATTATTGTCATCACCATCATCATTTTCCCTGTTTACCAGATGAAGAAACAGGCCAGAGCACTGGATGACCCACAGCCTGGGGGCTCTAGGGTCCCTGTACTCTGGTCTCCTTCCAGGCAGCCGACCCTTAATAGTTTTCTTTGGTTCAAATAAGACAAGGTTGTCTCTCTGGTTCTCCAACACTAGGTGTTCAGTGCCCTTAGCTTTCTGAGAACCAGGACTCCAAAAGGAACGGCAGATAGAATGACACACTGGTGCACACCAGGACTGTGCCCACACATGCCAGGCAGCCTGTAGACATGCTGAGAGAGAGGAGCAGGGGACAAAGGACACAGGAGAGACAGAGAAAATGAAGGAAAGGAAGAGAGAAGACCAGAAGGTGACAGAGGCTTCAGGTGGGCCTGGAAGCAGTAGGCTGGAGAGGCAAGAAGGAAGAGGACAGAAGGACAGAGGGAAAGGACAGAAAGAGAGAGACTTCTGTACTGGCCCAGCCTGTGGCCCCCCTCTCAAACTCCAGAGCCCTGGGCCCCTGCAGACAGGAAGAGAGGCAGGGACACAGTGCAAGGACAAGCCAGGCCAATGGCCAGGACAGAAGACAACACAAGTCCTGCACACAGCCCAGATATTAAAGTCATGGTCCTGAGTCTCCCAGGGAAGGCTCAGTTTTGCAGGTGTTCGTGAAGCAGGGTGCTGTCAATGTCTTTGAAAAGTTTCCTTCAGGACTCTGCACAATCACGGAGAGTCCAAGAGAGTTTGAGGTTTCCAGACATGACACAGAGGGGCACTGGCCCAGGTGCTGGGTCCTGAGCCCTTGGGCAAGTTAGGGACCAGCTGGAAGTCTCAGTTTCCCAGTTTGTAAAGTGGGGATGTGGAGGTAGGGACTTCTAGGTCCTAATCCCTTGTGTCTATGAAAACGAACTTGTCTGGGACCTCATTTATCCAGAACTCCCCCCCACCCCACCCCCGCCGACACAGTTGCTGGGACCTCACTTATCCAGAACCCTTCCTTTCAGAATTCCAGATGACAGGGGCATGTGAGACACGGAGCTAGCACATCAGAGAACTGGAGATGTCACTATTTCCTGGTCCCTTTCTTCCCTCAAGCTGGAGCAGGAGATACGAATATTGCTGCCTTCCCTGACAGAAAATAATCACCCTAACCCCACTCCTGGCCTCGGGGACCCCGCCCCAGATGCAGGCTGTCTCCACTTTTCCCACGCTCCTGCCAGCCTCGAGACGGTGCCCCTAAACCTCCATCACCTGGCTAGGTCAGGCCCCACTGCACACAGCCAGAGCAGCGGGACGGGGGCTGTCCCTCCTAGCCTTCCCCACACAATCTCCCCATCTGCTGGCACACATGGGCTTCCAGGAAGAAGCAGACTGCACTGCCAGCCCCAGAGCCAGCTCAGGGCAGCAGGGGTCAGACCCCACGGGCTATGGAATGAAGGGCAGAAGGAAAAGCACCCCTCCCAGTCCAGGGAGCCTTTTCTACTTTCACATCAGAGAGCAGCCACTTCTAATTGCCCCTCCTCCTCACCTTCCTGGCCAAACATTAGTGATTTCTACAAAGGGGACTGGCATTATAGACAGGAAGTGTATTTTAAGGAATTAAAGAGTCACAAAATTTGCCCGTCACACTTAACATCCAAATGGCCTAAAGAGAGCCAGACTGTAGTCCAAAAATCACAAAACTGTATCAAAACTTACACAGAGCCCCCCCCATATACACACACACAAAATCCCAAACCAATAAAAGATTTAAATTAAAAAAGTGAAACCATACAAGTACATTGTTCTACAGTCTCACAATGGCAAGCCATTTTAACTATGACACAATATCTAAAAGCCACAATATAAAATGCGGCTACAACCCACCACATAAAAAAAAACATGCATAGCAAAACCAAACACACACGCAAACATCATTAACAAAGTCAAATGGCCAGGGACAAACTGGACTGGAAAAAAGTCTGCAGCTTGCTTTACAAATAAAAAGCTAATCTCCCTATTATATTAAAAGTCCCTGGAGGGCTGAAGGTGTAGCATGCTTGCTGGAGGCCCTGGGGTTCAATCTCACATACACAGACACACACACACACACAGAAAACTGAGAAATGGTTGAGAAAAAACAAAAGCAAAAATAACAACAGAGCAAAGAAAAGGCAGCTGTATGGCTCTTACACACATTTTTCACCCATGACAATAAGCCACTTCACTCATAATAAAATAATTGCCAATTAAAACCAAACAAATAACACTCTGCGGCTGCAAAAGAAGCAAAACTCCAGCCCAGTGATGCCGCCCTCTGTGGGTGAGGCTATGAAAAAGCAGGTATTCTTAGAGAGTGCCCACGAAGATGTAAATTGGTTCCACCCCCCACCTGGATTTGCACCGACTAGAGACATTACAAATGCCCACATCCTTGGACCCAGGAAATATATCCTGCAGGTGGACTTGCCCGCTGCACGGTGAAACATGGTCAGGGACATGCTTTGCCTCGATGCTCATAAAAGCAAGGCAGGGTGGCAGGGGCTGGCTGGAAAAATGACCCACACAACAGAAAGTGATGCAGCTGCTACAAAATGTCAGAGACATTGGCCACCTACCAACATGCAAAAGAGCTGAGCCAAGTGCCACTGAGCAGAGAAACTGGAAAAATATAGTGTGTTGCCATTTGTAGCGAAAATGAAAGAAAAAGAATCCCCAAGTCAGGAACTGCAGGGACCTGGTGCACCTGGCTGCCTCCAGGGCTGGACAGTCAAGAAGCCTGGCCAGTGCCCGGCCCAGTGCTGAGAGAGCCCCTGCACTGCTTCATTAGCTCTTCGCAGCCATGTCCCTGGCATGGAGGGGACTGTCACCATCCTCATCACAGAGGATGAGGTACAGAGAGGTTAGCTGACTTACCAATGGATGTACTTCCTGTTCCAATAAAGACATGGGCCACTTTTAACTTTCTCAGGCAGGCAGCCATTCATGCTGCCTGTCTGTCTCATACTAGGGACAAGTTCAATGCTTATGTGATCCAGAAGATACCATAGGCTGGTGGGGACTCACAGTCCCTTCTAGCAGACAAGACTCTTTCAAAAGTCCTCCTGGCACTCTGCTGTCATGAACCACGTGTGCCATGTAGGGACTTGCACCCCACGCCAAGTACATCAATCCTCACGCAGCTCAGTCCTCCCCACTGTGCCCTGCAGGTGCCTGTTGACATTTTATAACATTTATCCTATGTCCTCGCAAAATGCAAAACTCCTTAGTAACTAGAGCAGTGTCTGCAGTGACCTTCAGGAAAAACTCAGTTTCCCCTCCCCAGAAGGACCAAACTCTTGTGTTCAAAGTCATGCATGTTCCACTAACAAGAACACAGGAACCAGGCATGATGACACACGCCTGTGATCCCAGCACTTGGGAGGCTGAGGTGGAAGGATGGCCAGTTCCAGACCAGACTGGGCTAAACGGTGAGACCCTGTCTCAAAAAAACAAAACAAAATCACACAAGGGGCCAGCATCTGCCCAGTGGAAGGCTGATTCCTGACTTGAGCAGGGGGCTTTCTGAACTATAGGATCTATGTGGTGCAGGACCAGGAGCACCCAGCCCCTTCAGCACGTGATGGTGAAGGGAGGAAGCAGAAGATGTGCTCCTGACCCAGGGGAATCCCTTCCCGTGCGGGCCAGGTGGCGTGGGGAGGGCTGGGTGGGTGAAGGTGACAGTCAGGATGCTGTTCCTTCTTGTGCTGCTCAACTTACCCACAAAACCCATTCCTGGTGTCCTGGGGAGACCAGGCCACACAGGGAGAAAGCTCTCCTGCCTACTCCACCCAAGCCCCTTGTCTAACAGCAGATAATCTGCAAAACATCTGGGGACCCCAATAGTGACCCATAGTGCCCATGCCTGGGAAGCCCATGTGACTAGAAGTGGACGGGTCTGGACCACCGCCTTGGCTTGAGGTGCATCTTTGTCCTGCCATTTTCAACAGGGCACTGGCCCCGTGGGGACGCCCTGCAGAGTGTGGACTCTTGAATTATGTGTCCTATTGAGGACAGATTGGTACTGCCAATCTGGAGCCTGCCCTCCCTGGGTGTGCTAGCCTGGGTTCAAGGTCAGCAGCCCTGTTCCCGAGAGCTGGGGGCACAAGGCAAGACACTTTGTCTCCCCAGGGTTCACTCTCCTTTCTGGGAGTGAGGGCAGGGACAGTCCCCACTGCAGAGGGCTGGGCACATGGCTGACCTCTGATGTGAGTTCCATGGTACACGTCGGGGCACAGGTACCCCTGGGGTGCATGTAGAGATGCTCTTGTTACCTGATCTCTGTCACGTCTGACTTGTCCAGTTTCTGCAGCTCCAGCTTGGCGGCCTCCAGGATGGGCATGACTTCAGCCAGAGCAGCCTCAGCCTCAGCCTTCTCCACTGCAATGATCTTGTTCTGCTCCTCTATCTCCATGGCCTTCTCCTCTGACAGCTTCTTCTTCTCCTCCGCTGCGGGGGTGGGAGAGGGAGCAGGTGAGCCTCAGGCAGCTCCTCTACTGAAGCAGCAGGTTTCAAGGATTCTGGGGCAATGTGGTGGCCTCTGGCATTCCAGCTGGGACTGTGCAGGGGCAGGGTGGGAGTGGGGTCTCCAGCAGTGGTGGCTGCCTGGCTCTGGCCTTCCTCTACTGGCCCACCTGTGTGCCTTCCACTCCATCCCATGGCAGGTGACAGCCCCACTCTTGCCTGACCAGGGTTGGCCTGGGACCCCATGCCTATCTGTCTTGTTTTCTGGTTCACTGACATCTCTGCCCCCCCCCACCTCTCTCTCTCTCTTCCTTTTCTTATGTTCATTCAGGCCCAGCCCAAGAGCCGGCCCTCTAGGGAGGACCACTTTGTCACCCTGCATGTGTACCATCACCACTGTCTGTCAGCTTCTGGACACTGACGTTTCCTTCAGTCTTTGGCATGAGCACTGTCTGGCTGCCTCTAGGCCCTGAGCAATTCCCCAGGGGCACAGTTCCAAAGCCTAAGCAGGGCTTAGCTCACAGGAGAGACACAAGGGTGAATAACACCCCCCAAATTTATACCCACTAAAGCCTTGCAAGGCACTCTTCTCTGGAGATGGTGTGATTAGTTAAGATGAGGTCACACCGGTCAGGGCGGGCGTCCTTGTAAGAAGGCCAGGCTTCACACCATGTATGCAGATCAAGTGATCAGCAAGCCCACAAATATGTACGACTACTCTGTCACAAAAGCTTTTTTGATGGCACTGAGGTTTGAACTCAGGGCTTCACCCTTGCTAGGCAGGTGCTCTACCACCTGAGCCACACTGCCAGTCCTTTTTACTTTAGTTATTTTTCAGGTAGGGTCTTGTGTTTTTGCCAAGGCCAACCTCAGACTTTGATCCTCCTACCTATGCCTCCCAAGTAGCTAGGATGACAGGTGCACGCCACCAAGACTGGATTATTGGTTGAGATGGGGTCTCACTAACTTTTTGCCTGGGCTGGCCTTGAACTATGATCCTCCTAATCTCTACTTCCTGACTAGCTGGGATGACAGGATTACAGGGAGGAGGTTTGTGTGGAGGTGGAGTGGAAGGACACATGTGTAAGCTGAGGAGTGTCTCCAGCCCTTCTCTTGGGTGTCCCTAGGCAGCCTGTCCTGCAGGGACAGGCCTATCACCAGCACCGGCCCCACACTCGCCTATGGCTGTGTTGGTGGCGATCTCCTCCAGCAAGGCCTCGCAGGCAGTGGACTTCTCAGCCAGCACAATCTTCTGCTCAGCCAGCTTTTTGTTCAGCTCATCCAGCTGGATAGAGGCCTCCTTCAACTTGTCCAGCCCGCCCTCCAGGCGCTTGCACTGGGCTGGGGACAGACAGCATCTGGTCACATCCAGATGCTCCAAATGCCCCCCAGGAGAAGCATTCTACCAGCCTCCCTGAGATTGTGCCAACTTGGGCTCTCCGGGGAGGAAAATCATTTTTTTAGAAGACATCGTGCATCTTGTAGTGCCTCTCCCATCAGTGTGGTATCAGCTAAAGGCAACAGATTTCTGAAAACTGTGCCCCACTTGACCGATCACCAGTGCCCTTCGAAAAAGTCCTTTCCAACAGAGCACTTTGCTGATGCAAGGATATCTCCAACACAGTGAAAATTAAAAGCCACCGAGTACACAGCCCAGCACTGAAAATAAATATAAGAGCAGGCCAGCATCCTAGCCACAGAGAAGAATTACCCCAAAAGGCAAAATCCATACATACTGTCCTTTGCCTCATGAAACACCTGCTGGGCTGCGGGTGTAGCTCAACGGCAGGGCGTCTACCTAGCACACTGAAGTTCTGGGGTCCATCCCCAGCACCATAAAATAATGGAAAAATGGAAGGAAGGAAGGAAGGAAGGAGGGAGGGAGGGAGGGAGGGAGGGAGGGAAGGAAAAAAACCCTGCTTCAAAGCAAGCAAACACTGAAATCCTCATTCCTGAGGAAATGACACACCGTTCTGCCCTCAAGTCTTACCTATATTATACTGAGTTTTTTCATCCAGCAATTTTGAATACGTGTTAATAAAATCCAGATAATTCTTAGGAGTTACATAGTTGCTACGTCTCAACTTCTGGAGAAATTGTTTGCTAAATTCACCCACGGACTGGTGGACCAAAACCACGTGCTCCACCAGGTCGTCTATATTTTCTCCTGGGATCAGAGGATTATCACCTGGAGAAGAAGGAATGAAAAAGACCCCTCTTAAAGAAGGACGAAGAGCAGTTCTCAAAAAAGTGACAGATCAGGAACCAGGTATGGTGGCCCCAGCTACTTGGGAGGCAGCGGTAGGAGGACCTCCATCCAAGGCCAGCCTGGGCAAAGTTAGTGCAAGACCCTATCTGAAAAACAAACTAAAAGTAATGGCTGGGTGTGGCTCAAGTGGCAGAGTGCTCACCTAGCCAACTCCAGGCCCTGAGTCCGAAGAGATGAGAGGTGACCAGGGGACAAAACATGTTGGAAATAGGTAATGATGATGGTGGCACAAGGTTATGAACACAATTTGTGCCACAAGTACACTTAAAAAATGGATGAGATGGAAAAGATTGTTGCATATATTTTATCTAAATAAGAAAGACTTTTTTATTTAATAATAAAAAAAAAGAAGCTGGTGTGGTGGATCACACCTGTAATCCCAGTACTCAGGAGGTTGAGGCAGAATGATGGTGAGTCCAGTCTGGGCTGCATAGTGAGTTCCAGGCCAGCGTGAACTGTAGAGACTCTGTCTCAAGTAAGAAGAAGAAAAAGGAGGAGAAGGGAGGGAGGGGGGGAGGGAGGGAGGGAGGAAGGAAGGAAGGAAGGAAGGAAGGATCGGTCTTGTACTTGTAGGTGGCTTTTCTGGATTTTGGAGGCACACTGTGGCAATTTCTTTAATACAGAAGTCACTTTTTCCCTACTGTTAGGAAGCTGTTTTCCCGAAGGGCTCAGACACCATGTGGAGGGGGGCTGGGACTTCAGGGGAAGACACCACAGCTGATCCCAGCAGAGCAAACTTCCCCGGGATCTGGAAGCCCTCACCCAGCCATTTCCCCGCAGATACCTGTCTCCAGCACATATGGGGCAAAGGCCAGCCTTCCTGCAAACCAGCCAGAGGAATTCATGATACTTCCAGTGTCAAGATCACATGGCTCAGATCATCTGACAGGCTGAGATGCTACAGCGTACAGGTACAGGAAAAACTGCCTCACAGAAAGCCACCCTTTTGGGGCATAGTCACCTCAACTCCAGGAAATATCTTCCAAGGGGAAAAATTCCAAGTAAATTTTGAGTGACCTCATGAACAGCACTGCAACATTGAATAACAAAAGCCAAATCCAGGTGCTAGCTCATGGAAATAATTAACACGCCCATGAAAACTAGGAGGGCGCTACAACAGGAACAAATGTGGCCCCCTGCTTGCTTTTATAAATAAAGTTTTATTGGAACACAGCCACGGCTGCTCAATTACATACTGCCTACGTATGTAAATATGCAGGCTTTCACCATACAAGGACAGAATTCAGGAACTTCAGCAGAGTTCCGTCTGGACCTTTCCAGAAAAAGCTCGCCAGCTCTTGAGTTACGTCAGCAGAACAAGCATTCTCTTGGCCTCCTTCCCAGGAAAAGGAAGCTGTGCTTAAAGTTCAGCACAGAAGGGCTATTTATTTATTTATTTATTGGATACATATTTATAAGGTTAAAGAATTAACATGGCATTTGTCATAAATCTGATCCAGTTAGAACCATAGGAAGATTTTCCCCTGAAGATAAATTGACTTGTTTTCTCATTCAAAGATTGAAATTAAAACCTAAGGCCTCCTGTGTTTGAGACTTTAGAGAGAGGTTCAGTATGGAATGAGTCTGTTTACCTAACGGTCCCTGGGATCCCCTGGTCAGGGATCAGCACACTTTTCCTGTTGCTTTTTCTTTTTTGAGATAGAGTCTCATTGTGTATACTAGACTGGCCTTGAACTCACTGTGTAGCCTGGGCTGGCCTCAAACTCATGATCCTCCTGCCTCTGCCTCTCAAATGCTAGGATTGTAGGCCTTCTGTCAGTAATAGCATGGTCTCTGTTACTGTGCAGCTGTGGACTAAAAGCAGTCGTAATGTTAATTAATGGGTCTGTGTTCCAATAAAACTTTATTTACCAAAACAAGCAGTGGGCCACGTCTGGCAGCAGGTCGTGGCTTTTCTAACCCCCAATTCAGATATTGTCCAATCAGTGTTATCCTAAGCTGTCCTTATAAGTTTCCTGAAATCTCTTTGGGCTGAGCCACAACAGAAAACAAAAAAATCACCCTTATGTTAAAAAGTCACTCGTTATCATAGGGGTGACAGTGATGGATTTTTACGGGACTAACGTCAACGTCAGAAAAGTCAAAGCAAACTTCTTTCTCAGACCAACCGTATAGACCCCTGACAGCTGTGACTTACCCAAGAATGACTTAGCAACAGCATGCAGGGCCTGGGGAGGCCAGGGCATGAACCAATCAATGCCAGTGTTATTCACCAGACCTTGAAAAGAGAGAGAGGAAAGAGACGATAGCTCTGCCACCCCAAGAGACTTAAGGACACCCATACTGCTTCAGGGCCCACCAAATGGAAATGGCCACCCATGCCTGGGTGTGATTCTCGAAAGCAATTTCTCTCTCTGACATCGGGCACTACTGACATGGGGTCACACAACCCTTTGATGCAGGGGCTGGCAAGGTTTTGTGGGATTTTCTTTTTCTTAGTTTTGGTTTTGTTTCTCGCTCTTTTTTATTAGCATATATTAAGTGTATGATGGGATTTCATTGTGATCTTTCCATACATGGTCAAATTCTTATCTTCTTGCCCCTTCTTTACAAACAATTTTAATGGGTTTCATTATTCTACTTTCATGTGTATGTAGGAACCCAGTGCTGGTGGCTCACGCCTGAAATCCTAGCTACTCAGGAGGCAGAGATCAGGAGGATCACGGTTCGAAGCCAGCCTGGGCAAACGGTTCTCAAGACCCTATGTTGAAAAAACCCAACACAAAAAAAGGGCTGGTGGAGTGGCTCGAGTGGTAGAGCTCCTGCTTATTAGCAAGAGTGAGGCCCCGAGTTCAAATCCCAGTGCTGCCAAAAAGAAAGAAAGAAGGCAAAGATACATGGGAAGTACTTTGGCCATATTCAACAGAGGGTCTCTTTTGCCCTCCCATGTCACTGGCTCCAACTCCCAAATGATTTTCCTGGTTTACACTCGTATCATTCATTTTAGGGGTTTTTAAGGTCTAAATTTGCACTATGAGATGTTTAGTGCATCTCTGGTTTTGACCCACTGTGCACTGTCCCTCCCCTGTCAAGTTGTGACAACAGAAAATGTCTTCAGATATGATCAGTTGTCCCCTGGGGGCCACTCTCCCATTAGTCATCTCTGTTCTCAAGGCAGATTCTGCACTTTTTATGAGGCTGGCAGATTTTTCCCAAATGGGTGAGAACAGAGAGCCACCCTCCACGAACAATGCCTGGGAGAATGGGCAAGTCCCCGTGCCAAGAGGATGTCATCCACGCCTGTGGGTAACTGTGAGGGACCAACGAGGGGGCACCCCACAAAGCACGGCCCACATTTCAACCTAATGCCATGTCCTGCTTGACTCTGGCAGGGGAAGCTAAAGAGGCCAAAGTCCCCAATGTAGCCACCCTGCCGCTCTGGGGACAAAGGAGGCATGGCTCCGCTCGGGGTACCTGGGAAGTTCCTGCACCAGGTCCGCAGGGTCTCCCCCACGGGTGACATGCCGAGGACAATGTGCAGGTTGTTGGCGCTCTTGTTCACAAAGTACTGCCACACGGACTCCTTGGCCGGCCCCAGGCCGTGTTTCAGCGCCTCCTGTCCTAGCTGGCTGAGGACCGTGTCCTTCTCCTCCTCCGGGAACAGCGCAGGGACGATCCCTAGGAAACAGGCACAGGGAGATGGCTTGGAGGGCACAGGCTGTTCCCGCCCTGGGCGCTGAGTGAAAGGACAGAAGTGTGACATCATGAGAAGGACAGTGCATGCCCAGTGGAGGAGCAGGTGGGAACAGTGGCTCACTCCCTGTGTGCAAAGCCCTGTCCTGCCCAGTATCTGATGCTTTCCTGTGTGGAAGATCAACACAGCAGGCTGAGCTGCTCGCCTTCTCAGAGCCCCTTCCTCTCTCTTCCCCACTATCCCCATGGACTCCAGAGGGACCACGTACAACACAAAGCTAGAAATCACCACTGCACCAAGAACATAGTCTCAGCTACTTTAAATGACCCACAAGGAGGCCGGGAGAGGTGGCTCACGTCTGTAATCTTAGCTACTCAGGAGGCAGAGATCAGGAGGATCACAGTTCAAGACCAGCCCTAGCAAAAAGTTAGCAAGACCCCATCTCAAACAACAATGCAAGCATGGTGGTATGCACCTATGATCCCAGCTATGAGGGAAGCACAGGTAGGAGGATGGAGGTCAGAGGGCAGCCCCCCAGGCACATTCACAAGACCCTGTCTGAAAAAAGGGCTGGTGGAGTGGCTTGAGTGGTAGAGCACCTGCCTAGCAAGCACAAGGCCCTGAGTTCAAACCCCAGTACCACCAAAAAAAAAAAAAAAATAATAATAATAATAATAAATGACCCCTGAGACCCCGCATCATGCAGCCCCTCCAGTTGTCCCATATCCTGCCACCAGCTCACCATACCCCTGCCAGCCCCGGTACCTGACGTCAGCATGTTGTTAATAAGCTCCAGGAAGCCCTCCTCGGCCACCTGTGCATCCGTGAACAGAAAGATCATGGTCTTGTTCTCAATTCCGAGCTTCAGGTAAAGGTTCTTCAGGTCTTCCCGGAAAGAGTTCTCCGAGTAGCCTCGGCTCAGCATGATCTCAAACACCTGGGGACACAGGACACAAAGTCACCAAGGCCATCTGCCTCCTTCCCCGGCCTGCTGCACAGTGGGGGAGCTGCCAGGATACCAGAGAGCCTGTGACTTTGTGCCTCTAGAGACATGACCCCATGGGGCAGAGGGACGCAGGGTGGCGAGGCCAGGTGATTCAGCCAGCCTCACAAAATGCTGAGTGAGGAGCTTAGAGGCAGAAGACAGAGTGGCCTGGTTTTGTCACTGCATGACCTGCATTCTGTATGTGCACACATGTGTGGCAGGGCATGAGTGTGCAGAAAGCATGTCAGGTGGGAACCAGGAAGGGACACCGGCATGGGAAGGAGGACCTCAGAGTCACACGGGGAGGGTGTGCAAGGCACAGGCAGGCATTTGTTCTGGCTCAGAGGCAGAAGTGAGGACTTCCATGGTGACAACAGCCACAACTTTGGAAATGTGACATTTATAGTGGCTGAGACAACTGCTGTCACCTCCCCTCCACCCCACTCATCCACACCAGGTCACACACACCACCGCCACTCTCATACTTGGCCAGTCATGCAGACACTCAGTTGCTGTTATACTCACTCAGTCATTCCAAGACCTGTTACTTGCAGTCACACTCGCTCAGACACCACACACACCTCTCACACACACATACACTATCACACCTACACCCAGTCACCCAGACACGTGGTCACATCCACACTGCTTTCACTCTCACTCAGACTTGCACACTGACACAAAATCATGTACCTAAACTTGAGGCAACAAGGACGCCTTCCACCCACAGGGAATTTGGTCTCCTGTCCTGTCCCACGCAGATGCCCTGGGTCCCCTGAGTGAAGCCCTCTCCCCACCCCTCATCGGCTCCTGGGACCTCTGGTGTGAACACCTGCTGTCTAAGCTGCTCTTAGCCCAGCATGCCCTCACCCTCCTCCTGGCTGTCCTCTCATGCCACCTCAGATAACCTGTGGGGTCTGTAAGATTCTAAGAATGGACACACTGCTGGGAATAGAAAACGGTGCAGCCGCTGTGGACAGCACTTTGGTGGCTCCTTGAACAATGAACCACAGAGTGGCCCCAGGACCCAGAAACCACACTCCTGGGAGTAGCTCCAAGACTTCCAGAAACACATCCACAGGAGAACTGCACATGAATGCTCAGCACAGCCTGTCCATAATCACCCAAAGATGGAAACAACCTGAAGGCCATCCAAGGGGGAATAGATAAACAAAACATGGCAGTCACACAATGGACTATTATTTGGCCCAAAAAAAGGAATGAAGTACAGACACAGGACACACCCAGGATGGACCATGAAACCATGGAGCTGAGAGGAATGCCACAGACCGCTTTACTCTGTGCTCGTGAAGGTCTTGCACAGGGCCATCCACAGAAACAGGAAGGAGACTCGAGGTGCTGAGGGCTGGGGGAAGTGGGGTGATGGCTGCTAAAGGGCACTGGGTTTCTCTGGGAAGGATCAGAAATGTCCTAAGGGAGGCGTGGAGATGGTCACACATTTCTGAATAGATTTTCAAGGGGTGAACTGTACAGTCTTGAATAACATCTCATTTAAGAAGAGAAGGAGAGAGAGATCCCAAGGGTGACCCCAACCGTGTGTGCTGGCCATGCCAATGTGACCACGAGCACACAGCCAAACTGTGGCTTTCCGTTTGGGCCACGCCACCACAATTCACATGAGTTGCTCTGTATTTGACTTTTGGACTTGATTTGATGTCTCTGCGTTCCAAAAAACACTGCAAGAATTAGACACAAGCCCAAAAGAAACAAAAATAAGCAAACCAGCAGCATGTGCCATGAAAACATGGTGCGACAATCTGCTATCTTTTTTTCCTAATGGTCGCGTGACCTGCTGATTGCCAGCAGTGGTTGGGGAGAGTGAGGGGACACAACTCACCTCATAGCCGGCTGTGAAGGCGGCCAGCCTGGCAAGGGACTGCTTCCCCGAGCCCCCAACACCCACCAGCAGCGCATGGCCTCTATCCATGCGGATGGTGCGGTGGACATGGATCAGGTGCTCCAGGGCATCGTCAAAGAGCACCAAGTTCATCTTGGTGTTGGTTTCATTATACTCCTCAAGGATTTCCTGAATTAAAAAAATAAATCAGCCAGGCACCAGTGGCTCACGCCTGTAACCCCAGCTACTCAGGAGGCAGAGATCAGGAGGATCGAGGTTTGAAGCCAGCCCCAGGCAAATAGTTCACGAGACTCTATCTTAAAAAACCCATCACACACACAAAAAAAAGTGCTGGTGGAGTGGCTCAAGTGCTAGACTGCCAGCCTAGCAAGTGTGAGGCCTGAGTTCAAGCCCCAGAGCTGCCAAAAAAATAAGATAAAAGTAAAATAAACCAGCATCTATCAATTTCAAGAGTCAGTCTTTCTTTTTTTGTTCAAGAGAGATGGAGAAGAGAGAAGAATTTTTTTTTCTGAACATCTATGTTTGTTGAACTAATTAAAGCATCTGGGCTTCTGGGGTGAAATCTAGTGTCTATAATCAAGTTTCAGCTGGGTGGCCTCTGCCTGGCCAGCCATGAGCCAAAACAGATTACAGGTGTGGGAACCGCTGGACCAGACACAAGTCCACACTCCGAACCCTAAGATGGGGACAGTGGGGCCTGGCCACACCTGGAATAGAGCCTTGGCCGCCTCGTAGTCCTGGATGTCTTCATACACCCGCGTCTCCTCTTCGTGCAGAGCCATGCGGAAGTCCCCAAACAGAATAGGGTCCCTCATTACCACCTCCAAGTCACTGTTGAAATGCTCTTCAACCAAGTTTTTTATGTGATCTTGCACCTGAAAATAAAAGACCATTTTAGGACCCAAACCCAACAGCAGTACATGAGCCACCTGTCGGGGAAAGAACACACGCCATGATCAGCTGAATAATTTCCCGTGATTTTCCCCCAGTGGCTACAAGGTACTTGATAACCCACCCTAGTTACCTGTTGACTTTTATTGTTAGTGTCTATTTTTAAGTAATTTAATGTCACTTGTAAAATATTGGGGTTTGTTGTTGTTACTTGGTTTGGGGTTTTTTTTTTTTACACTTGTTTTACTCGGAGAAGAATTTCGTGGCTAGCATTTCGCACCTGCTGCTATGTTTGCGTGTACTCACCAGTTGCTTATCTGTTTCGTTGATCAGCGATCATGGAAGACCCTCAGACACTCATTCCTCCAGACCCTCACCATCTGGGTCACCGTCTGGAACCTACAGGACAGAGGGCAGATTCAGCCACCAGGTCCTCTGGAGAGGACTGGGGCCAGTGCTACCGTTTCTCAGATGGGTGCTGGGGATGGGGGCAGCATGGGGACCACTGTCTATTGTTCTTCCCTTCCTCTACTCTTTATGTTAATGAAATCTGATCTGAAGTTCCTCCAAAGCCAAGAAATTAAATGCAAAAAAAGTCATCATCCCCTCCTATCCTACTGCCGGGAAGAAGAACATTCTCTTTAAACAGAATAAATAGTACAAAGTGAGCTGCTGCACGCGCTTGCTGGAGTACAGGAACTCAAAACAGCACTGGGGCCACTCACAGTCCCTTTTGTAAGAACCAGTGTCATCTGTCTCCAGTTCCAGAACTTTCTCTGCAGTTTTTTCCTGGCAAAGTGTTTCGAACACACACACCAAAACACCTGGCATGCCCTCTCCCAGCTGCTGTTCTGACCCCATCAAGGTTAAGTGTGGCCCATGGCAAGTCCTCAGCTCACTTCCTAGTGACTGATATGAACCTCTAGTTTAACTGTGCTTGCAAATCGACATTCACGCAGACAGAAGTCTAGATGTAACGTTTAAAAATTTATACTAGACTTAACTCCTTCCTGTTTTCTGCACTTACTTCTCCTAAAGACCCACTGGCCACTCATGGCTGCACGAGGGGAAGGTTTCACGCTGACAGAGTCCACCTCCAGGCCTGAGAAGGAAGGTGAGTGAGGCCTGCAAACCCCGCCCCCGCCCAGGCCTCCGACTTCTGCTTCCCTTGGCTCCACCTGTCTTCAGCCCAGGAGCTCACAAAGCATCAAGAGTGAAGCCAATGTTTCTCTCTTTTCTTCACTTAATATAAGCAGAAACTTTGGGTAACTGATCAATATACTGATTCATCAAGTCCATTGATAAACCCTCTGTCTTAAAAGAACAAAAGAGGACCAGTCTGTAATCCCAGCCACTTGCGAGGTGGAGATTAGGAGGATCATGGTTTCAGGCCAGCTTGGGCAAAAAGCTAGTAAGGCCCCCATCTCAACAAAAAACGTGTGCATGGTGGCACACGCCTGTCATTCCAGCTACATGGGAGGCAGAAGTAGGAGGGTCTCAGTCCAGGCCAACCCAGGCATAAATGCAAGACCCTCGTCAAAAAATAACTGAAGCCAAAAGGGTGTGGTTCAAGTGGTAGAGCACCTGCCTAGCAAGCACAAGGCCCTGAGTTCAAGCCACCTGAATGAATGAATAGATAAAGGCATATTTTAGTGAGACAGACAAACTCACCGCTCCGGGTTAGTGAGGACAAGACCATTAAACACCCGGGAGAGATCTCGAAGGTTGAAGATGTAATGGAACTTGGAAGGGGTGGGCAGCAGGTCCTGAACAATGTTTTTGTAAAGTACCAACGTGCAAGAGGTCAGCGTGGTGCTCATGGCCATGATGCTCTCATGAAAGTTCTAAAAACATGAAAAGAGCCCCAGTGTCCATCAGTGGGTGCACAGGTGGATACACAAGACACAGCGTGCTCACAGGATGGGACACTCAGCTACAGAGAGGAGGGAAACCGCCATGGGCAACAACATAGATGAACCCAGGACACATGGCGCTGGGTGAAAAGAGCCATGCAGAGGCCACTTATCATAGGAGCCCATATAAACTCCACTGATAGGCAAGTGTGTAGAAAGGAAAGGTAGATTCATGGTTTTCCAGGGGATGACGGATCAGGTGGGAGCAGCTGCTCATGGGTACTGCTTTCTTTTGGGGAGCAGAGAAAATGTTCTGTCATTAGGTAGTGGGGATGGCTGCATGACATGAATGAAAGTACCTCTAAATTCTATGCTTGAAAATGGTAAGAGTGAGGCTGAGCTCGGGGGTACACACCTGTAATCCCAGCTACTTGGGAGGTGGAGGTGGGGAGGATCTCAGTTCAAAGCCACCTCAAGGCAAAAAGGTAGTTAGTCCATCTCAATCATAAGCTAGGGCTGGTGGTGGAGGTAGGAGGATAGTAAACTAGGCTGGCCCCAGACCCTATCTAAAAAATAACCTAAAGCACAAAGGGCTGGCAGAATTGCTCAAGGGGTAGAGCACCCCAGTGCCATAGGACATAATTGAAATAAATGGGCTCCAAATGAGGAGACAAGTGAATCAGTGGTGACAGCACTGACTGTGGCTACCGAGTGTCTGCCACATGCCAGGCAGTGTGCCCCACACTTCACGGGCGTCTCCCTGGTTTAATTCTCCCCAAACCAAGTGAAGCATGCACTGTCGTCACCTCCCTGTTGCAGGGAGAACAGGGCAGGAGAGGTTGAGGGACATGCCCAAGTGCAGACTAGGGACTGAGTGGAAAGCCCCAGTCCCATGGTGGCCTCGCTCCTGGAACCCAATGTGGCACCTGTGACTCAGGGTCACATCATGGCTTCCGTAAGCCCGTGCCCTCTTCCTTTCTGACCCCTTCCTCTATGAAAATATAATATATTATAATATAATAAAACTAGGGCTGATGAAGTGGAGAGGCTCAAGTGGTAGAGTGCCTGCCCAGCAAGTTCAAACCCCAGTACCAGCAAAAAAGAAAAAATGAAAATATAATAAAATTACATTTTATGACTGCATTGGTATAATTTTTTCCCTTCTGATTCTGAAAGAAATGAAATCATTCTCATGGGCCTGGCCTTGGCCCCACCGGGCCTGATGTGCAAGCATGTATCCCTACCCGATACCATGTCCCCAAGTTTAGCTTCTGGTTAACACTAAGTTACCGAGGTGTGGCCTTTCAGGATGGAGGAATAGATCAAGTGCAGCGACTCCTCGGAAGGAAATGGCACGTTGAAGACGTTGAAGAGGGAGATGAACCTGGGGTCCACCTCATTGCGGCCTCCCCCGGCCTTGCCCATGGCGGCAATGAAGCTCAGGTCTCGGATGCTCTTGCAGTTCAGCTCCTTCCCGCGGTCGTACAAGAAGCCCTTCTCCAGGAGCAGCTTCAGCAGAGCGATAGGCTGCTGTGTGCCATATTCGTCCACCTGGAGGAATTGGTGGTGTTAGAGGAAAGAGTGGAGGCTACAAAAAGCAGGACTCAGAGGGGCCCACGCTGGCCATCTACAGCTCGGATCTCCAGCCTGGCACTCTCTCAGAGCCGCCTGTTTCCATTGCACAGGCTTCTCAGAGTTTGTGATGATAGATGAACTTGTGGTCTTTTTCAGTCCGTCTCCCTCCCTAGACTGGGAGCTCCATGAAAACAGGGGCTGCAGTTTTACACATGCCACAGCACCAGGCCCACAGGAAGGGCTCAGTAAAGAGAGTTAACAGGATAGATAGAGGATGGGTGGGTGGATAAGTAAATGGATAAACAGTTATGGGTGAGTGGATGGGTCAGAAGATGAATAAGGAGAAAAAGAGATGAATAGATTTGGAGAGCGGATTATGAAAAGCCTATGAGAACTGGACATAAGCAAGGTGAGGTGCAGCCTCCCTTACCTGTAGGCCAAGATAGGCACAACCCTGGCCACAAAACAGAAAAAAAGCAGAACAGCTGCATCTCCTAAGCTTGTATTCTGAGAAGCAGGAAGGCAGGTTTCTCCTGTGACAATGTCACACCCTCCCCCCAGAGCCTCTGCTCCACCCTGTTTGCTGCTGTTTATTAAAGGCCCTGAAGGAGGGTGGGGTTTGGGGTGGATGCTTTTGCTTTTTGCCTTGGGCTTTTTGGAGTGGGAAGCTTTTAGAAGGGAAAAGAATTGCTAAAAGGAAATTGCTAAAGGGAAAAGAATGGCTAAGAGAACTTTAACATAGGCTTTAGAAAAAAAAAAGCCAAAGAAAGAACTTTAACATAGGCTTTAGAAGCTAAAGAAAGGCCGAAGAGAACATGGGACAGTGCAAGATAGAGGACAGAGACTTTGCAAGTCTGAGCACCAAGGCTTTAAGAAAGCTAAAGAGATAAGTTGATACAAGAAAGAGTAGGAAATACTCTGGAGTTAGTAGGTATAGGTAAGAACTTTCTCAATGAAACCCCAGCAGCACAGCAACTAAGAGATAGCATAGATAAATGGGACCTCATAAAACTAAAAAGCTTCTGTTCATCAAAAGAAATGGTCTCTAAACTGAAGAGAACACCCACAGAGTGGGAGAAAATATTTGCCAACTATACATCAGACAAAGGACTGATAACCAGAATATACAGGGAACTTAAAAAACTAAATTCTCCCAAAACTAATGAATCAATAAAGAAATGGGCATGTGAACTAAACAGAACTTTCTCAAAAGAAGAAATTCAAATGGCCAGAAAACACATGAAAAAATGCTCACCATCTCTAGCAATAAAGGAAATGCAAATTAAAACCACTCTAAGATTCCACCTCACCCCTGTTAGAATAGCCATCATCAGCAACACCACCAACAACAGGTGTTGGCGAGGATGCGGGGAAAAAGGAACCCTCTTACACTGTTGGTGGGAATGTAGACTAGTACAACCACTCTGGAAAAAAATTTGGAGGCTACTAAAAAAGCTGGACATCGATCTACCATTTGATCCAGCAATACCACTCTTGGGGATATACCCAAAAGACTGTTACTCCAGAGGCACCTGCACATCCATGTTTATTGCGGCACTATTCACAATAGCCAAGTTATGGAAACAGCCAAGATGCCCCACCACTGACGAATGGATTAAGAAAATGTGGTATCTATACACAATGGAATTTTATGCAGCCATGAAGAAGAATGAAATGTTATCATTCGCTGGTAAATGGATGGAATTGGAGAACATCATTCTGAGTGAGGTTAGCCTGGCCCAAAAGACCAAAAATCGTATGTTCTCCCTCATATGTGGACATTAGATCAAGGGCAAACACAACAAGGGGATTGGACTATGAGCACATGATAAAAGCGAGAGCACACAAGGGAGGGATGAGGATAGGTAAGACACCTAAAAAAACTAGCTAGCATTTGTTGCCCTTAACACAGAGAAACTAAAGCAGATACCTTAAAGCAACTGAGGCCAATAGGAAAAGGGGAACAGGTACTAGAGAAAAGGTTAGATCAAAAAGAATTAACCTAGAAGGTAACACCCACGCACAGGAAATCAATGTGAGTCAATGCCCTGTATAGCTATCCTTATCTCAACCAGCAAAAACCCTTGTTCCTTCCTATTATTGCTTATACTCTCTCTACAACAAAATTAGAAATAAGGGCAAAATAGTTTCTGCTGGGTATTGAGGGGGGGGAGAGGGAGGGGACGGAGTGGGTGGTAAGGGAGGGGGTGGGGGCAGTGGGGAGAAATGAACCAATCCTTGTATGCACATATGAATAATAAAAGAAAAATGAAAAAAAAAAAAAAAAGAAAGCTAAAGAGAGAATGCTAAAGAAAAGCTGCAAGCCTAGGGGCAAAAAACTTTAAGAGCAATTAGGCTAAAGATAAGCTGAGAGCAAACATGGGACAGTGCCAGTCTCAGGAAAGAGATTTTAAGGAAGGTTTTAAAGAAGGTTTTAGAAGCAAGGTTCTAAAGCGCTGCAAGGACTAACGCCTTAAAGAAAAAGACGATGAAAGAAAGCCATATGAGGGCGAAATCCTCGCGCGTCCTCTCCACCCCGAGACACGCCAACATACCACCCTTAACCTTCCACTTCTGCTCTGTCCATAAACTTTCCTATCTTTCTAGATCACTTCTCTTGATTCTCGCTTAAGTTCCACTCCCCCCAAAGTATTGAAGGCCCAAGTGTATGCGTTCCTCCCATCACAGATCCCCACAACTTATACCAGACGCGATCGTGAGAACAAAGCACTTGCTCTAACAAGGCGCGAGAGGATAAGTATAGCAAAAACAGCTCCGCCCTCGCAAAAACAGCATGATCCCCGTTAGAGAGCGATCATCATGGCATGCGCAGCAGCCTCCTCAAGGTCGATGCCATGGATAGATATCCACTAGGTTTAGTTGCTGACATGGACACTCTACTCGACTGGCGATGGTGTGCGCGTTGCGCAAGGTGCCCATTTAACGGCCGTGATGGATGGTGGCCATGGGTGGGATGTACTGGATGGCAATGGATGAGGATGCATGAACAGTAAACTCCAGCCTTGCACCGTCCTTCTAGAAAATTACAGATTTTTCGGCGAATAAATGGCTCTGATAAACACTGATCTATCTCAAATCGTTAAATCCAGACCCTTGTGCTAAATGAAAAAACATACCTCTCGAGACTCCGAACCCAGGAACACTCATGGCTGCAGTGAAGCCCTGGTCCTGGGTGAAACCCCGAGGAGTTCCGGAAAAGTGTCTGCCTCTGCTTTTCACGTAAAGGAATATGAGGAGCGCGGCGCCCCAACCCCCTTGTTGGAGAAACCATACCAAACACCCTCGAACCCATTAGATAAGATAAGCAATGCGGCAGGGCGCGTAGGGCAGATAATGTGAGAATGAAAGTCAGCAGATACGTGCAAAGTGTCAGTACGCGCAAGATGTGCTCTGCCTGCTTGCCCAATGTTGATAACGAAAATATGCATCACGCCACGCGTCTATATAAGATTTCCCCTAAAGAGGCTCAGGGTCGTGTTTCCTAACCGGTCCTGCGTGTCCGTGTGGGAGCTCGACCCTGGCTAGCCAGCCCAATAAACTCTGCTTTGTTGATTGCATTCACGCCTGGCTCTCTGTCTCTCGGGGGAATAGGATTCCGGGTCCTAACATTTGGAGGTCCACCGAGATTTCATTTTCTCGAGAGACAGAACCTGCCTGCGAGAAAGCAGGGGCGATCCCAAGTCCTAGGCGTTGGGAGGGGATCCCAGACCCTCATTTGGAGGAACTTGAGTGTTCCATTTGGGCCGCGGCGGGGATTCGGCCAATCCCCAGGGAGATTCATTCTGGGAATCTCGCAAGGAGGACCACAGGGTCCTATTGGGAGAGGCTTTCCTCTCATTTGGGCTCGAGCATTTTAGGAACCCTGGCGCCAGGTGAAGAACTAATTGAGCTAGTCGACCGACCACCCGTCAAGTGGACGCCTTTCGGCCTGATATCCCAGTTGGACGGTGAGGAGGTTGAATGGGGTGCGCACCAGTGTGAGAGAAGGACCGGTCCGAGCGAGTGCTGGAGAGTGTTGTGTGTGTGTGGAATTATTGTTGCCTTTACCCTTTTTGTTCTATCTCTCTTGGTGTTTGAGTCTCCTTCCACAATGGGACAGGGACAAACAACCCCAAAGTCTCTGATCCTTTCTCACTTTCAGAAGTTAAAGAAAGGGCCTTAAATGCGGGTCTGGTCATCAAGAAAGGTAAGTTCGACACCTTTTGTTCTGCAGAGTGGCCCACCTTTGGAGTCGGGTGGCCCATTCAAGGTTCCCTCTCCCTAGACCTGATCACTAAGGTTAAAGCAGTCATTTTTCAGCCAGACAATCGAGGCCATCCAGACCAAGTTCCTTACATTTTGGTTTGGGAGGATCTGGTGAGGAACCCTCCCCCTTGGTTAACAGTTTTTCTGACCCACCCCTCCAGTTCGGCCCCGGGGCTAAAACCCCAGTCACGCCCGCCTTGGTCATAAAGGAGGAGGAAAAACTTCCTCTTCCCACCTTGACCGGTCCTCAAATTAGGGCATCTCCTTCACCATCTCCGGTCTTACCAGAGAGTTCCCCCCTTTACCCATCCCTCGCAGGGGCAGAGGAAGATCGGCCGCCTCCATACGTGACTCCCCCTGGCCAAGCCAGTGCCCCGGAGGAGGAAATTTCCTCATCCTCCTCAACAGGACTGGCAGCAGGAGGAGGAATGGGTCGAAGACTTCGCCCCCGAGGGATCCGGGAAAGGGAGGGGAAGACGGGCCCCCTCATCAACACAGGGGGAGGAAACTGTCCCTACACTTCCAGTCCGGATGTGTGGCCAAGGGGACCGGGAGGGGCAACAGTTTCAGTACTGGCCCTTCTCCTCCAGTGATCTATATAACTGGAGGACGCAGAACCCGCCCTTTTCTGAAGACCCCAAGTGTCTCATAGATCTCTGGAGTCCATCATGCATACACACCGTCCCACTTGGGATGACTGTCATCAGCTG